GGTTTCCCCGGTTTGAGCAGTGGGACCACTCTCCTCAACTTCCAGATGTCTTGGATGATGAGAGTGGCCATTGACAGGTTGAGGACCTCCGTTAGGTACGCTACCCCCGCATGACCCAAATTTTTCAGCATCAGCATGCATATTCCGTCGGGACCCATGGCTTTGGAGGCTTTCGCCTTCCCGATGGCCACCTGAACTTCACCGCAAGTGAAAGCAAGGGGGGCACAAGTTGTTGGCAGTTTGTGCAGCCTTCTGGTCACTCGACGCTTGGCTTTGTCCACCGGAGGATGCAGTATGAACTGCCGGCTAAAATAGCTCGCGCATCGCTCCGGGTCCGACGTGGCATGGTCGCCGAAGGAAATTTCGACTCTGTCGTCGTGCTTCGTCGTATTAGACAATGACCTCACGGTTGACCAAAGCTTGCTCACACCAGAGGTGAAATTACAAGTCTTCAGGTGCTCCTCCCACTTCTTCCGCTTATGTACGTTATAATTTCCTTTACTTTTTCTCATGCAGTATTGGACCTCCCTAATGTACATACATACTTATGCATACATCGGTCATTTACTGAAAATACGCATATCTTTTTTAACAGTTTTTAGTAGTTTGTGTGTACTATATAAGATTATATAAAAAGTATCAAGCAGATGACGTAGCAAACACGGTAGCATCAGTGGCAAACGCTTGTAGGCGGCCTAAAATGCCAGAATAAACACTAATTCAACAAGCAACACTCAACAAGATAACAACAACAACGGCAATTAAATGTGGCAAAACGTTAGGGCTGCATAAATCTAAAGTCTTGAAAAAAAAGGCGGAGGGACTTTTCAAACGATTATATCCAAGTGCTGCCAGTTGCAACATCCAATAACAGGCCAAACTAAAATAGATACACAAAATTGTAAAAACGCGCATTTCACGATGAACTCCAAAAGAAAACAGCAAAATAAGAAACTGCACGGCATGACATCTTCGGCCACGTCGTGATGGTCCGAATCGTTGGAATTCGTTGTACAGAGAGGAAGCTATAACACGACATTGCTCATGTTGGCTAACTGTGAGTCTGATTGGGTGGATGCGAGGCAAATAAAAGTGTGCAAAAGTGTAAAAACACAAGCTTTTTCATGGGTGCTTCTTGGTTTGAACTAAGCTTATGCGTAATGATCTACGTTACGAGACGTGGAGTGCGGCAAGCATTAGGAATCCGCGGACGAGCTGAAGAGTCGAGTGTCAACAAAACTTAACTCGTTTGCTACTTGCACTATGCAGTTTCCATGTTAGTGGAATTGGTCGTAAGCAAGTTATAGAAAGAGTATGGGGTAATACTGCGTATTTTTATGTAGGTAACTAGATACATACTTGACTTATGATTTGATAGTAAATATATATGACATAAACAAACATACACATCTATATAGTACATATAAATATGTATGTACATTAAATTAGCAAAAAATTTAGTAAAACCGCCATTTAATTTGTTCGAAAATGTTGAAACAATAGAAATAATAGAAAATGGTATCGACCAATTTGCGCAAATTGCAATTTTCTGACTTATATTAATAAAAAAAATTCGCATTTTTTAAACTATTGGTTCACTGACAATGCACATACTCCCCCACTTTTCTGTATCTTTAACGTAAACATTCAATAACAATGAATCCGAAAAAAGTGAACACCAATTAAAAAAAAAAAACAATACTCGAATACCGAGTGAGAGTAATTAACAAAATATTGGATACACACACGCTATATGCATCAACTCACCACTTGAGAAAACAAGCGGCAACGTAAATTCACCATGTCTACTACATCAACGCAAAAGAGACTTTGTGGTGAAAAAGGTGAAAAATTTTATTTTAATAAAAGAAATCACAAGAAACAATTGTACATACATACATGCTATGTGTATCTAAACACGAGCATAAACATTCGTACGCACATTCCTTATACGAAAAAAATGCTAAAGTGTTGAACTTAAGTGGATCAAAACAAAATGTAAAACATTTTTGATTGCTCTTAAACTATTGAATTTATTAATGAATAAGGTGCGTCGAACAAGTTGTGAAAAGGACGGAGAGTTTTCGGTTGTTAGAGGACAGCGTAGACGCGTCACTGCGGGTGCAGTTGCGACGCGCTTCCGTGTTGTACACACACGAAACCATACGAGGAAACACCTCAAAACAAAAATACATGGTTTGAGGCGGGCGCAATGTGGTGTGGCGTTTTGCGGCTCATAATGCCGAAGTAGCGGGCGGTACTGCTTCAGCATATCAAACACTTCGCACCTCATACCGTGACTTCATCTTAACATAATTACACTAACTACAACATCCAATTGCAGGAATATATACATACATATTTGTGTATATATACACTCCAAGGCATTGAATTTCACTGCAAAATTATATAAATATACCGCTTAACACATAAAATAAGGAACTTTAATTTATATTCGTACTCGCAGCAACCGCAATGATGAAATTGGACAAATCCAAAAAATTCCACGGCTACGTCTTTATGTTCTTTGCTATATATGAAGTAGCTATAGCTTCACGTTTTTCGCGCTGGCCACACTATTTCACTTTTTCATTCCTTTCTGATTCAATTCAGTTTATATATATATTTTTCTATTCGTAATTAATGCTCGCCTGACTCCAATTATATTCGCTTTCCTTCGTTCATCACTTTAGTTTGCGTCTACGCATATTTCTCATTGAATCACACGCGTTTTTAATTGGTAAAATCTTTTGCGAGTTTTTCTTTATTTTTCCAGCTCCACAATCTACAAAATCACACAAAATTTCGCAGCTTTTACACTCGAGCCGTCGTCGTCTTCATCGGTCGCTAAAATTTGACTTCCTTCGATTCCGATTGTTCCGATCTGACGAATGTGTGTGTTCAATCATTCGTCATTCGAAAATGGCGGCGTACCACCCAGAGTTGCATTAGTATATTGAGAAATCCGGAACACGACTAAGCGCGACTTTCGAAGGAAAAACCAAAAACATATATTAATTCGCTATTTCTGTAGCAAATGAAACTTCCCTTTGAAAATTAACATTGCGCAACATATGTTGTGAATGGCTATATTTGAATCAGAGAACGGTTGAAAGCCCGGCATCCGGCATCTGTCTTCAAAACAAAGAACATACGATAGAATATACGATACAAGAAATCATCACAAAATTCTGGACACAAGATGGCGCGCGGGTATGCAAGGCCTTTTCCAAAAATCGAATTACTTCACAACCAAAAGTAAACCTTAGCATTTATTAAAATGTCACCTGTGAAGTAAATTTGGCGTTGAATAGATGATTTTCCAGCAAATTATAGCTGGGTGTTTGGGTGCAATTTCAGAGAACTTAAATGTATGCACATTCTGTGTTTACGTTCTTCGAAATGCACAAGCGAATCGGTTTGGCACCAAAATGCACTGGCACAAATCGGTTAGCGACTTATTTCTTTTACCTTTCATCGAATCTTCGCTGTCAAATGTCAATATTTACGAATCTTGGTGTTATGAGGAAGCACAATAAACGAGTATACATGGCAAAAACGATGAACCACACATACAATAAAACGAGAAAAAGCCCATCTACCTTTGGTATAGGTACTTACAAATTTTGTTTAAAATCTCCATAAATTCCACAAAATAAATGTCCGCTATCCAAACTAGGCACCAATTTGTTCATATGTGCATAATTACGTTGAATATTTTGGTTATGCAACTACAAAGAATTTTATAAATTATGGGATACGTAAAACACCGACACTGCTCGACTTCCGATTTTGTAAATGAATGGAAAGGAATAAGATAAACGTCAACTAAATTTTGACAGCAGTAGTGGTAAGTGGGCGAATTAACTAGAAAATTGTTACTGATTCCCTGACACATTTTCCAGGTATAAATTATATTAAAGCCACCTGGTGATATTACAAAATACAATGTCATCGCATTCAGATACTAGCACGCAGATATACAAATATCACAGCATCCGCCAAATGTACGCCGGCGATAAGCTACCGGATCTTCAGCTTACGTTGCGCGAGTATAGCAAAGATTCTGTTGAAATAGAGGTCACAAATTTGCGTTATGGAATTCAGAGATGGCAAAAAATGAAACATATATGTACGATTATAACAATATACATAATGTATAGCATTTTGACATCAAAGAGCTGGCTATTTAAAGGACACATATTGTGTGACCTTAGTTTATTTTTCTGGTTTCTTTACCGCATCGTTAAATTATTCTCATTAATACAAAGTGGTAGTATTTAAAGGCAAAATTATTAAAATATTCAAATTATAATGCCTTGCATTTTTTAGAAAAAGTTCTCTTTTGCTCGGATCTTGCTCTTCAGTGCCATACAGTTCGATTCTTGTCACGTACTTCGAATTTGTTTATTCCCGCCAACAACGTTTATGATGTAGTAATAAATGAAGCTATTGAGGATGTAGGGATATGTACTTTAATTTCATAAACAGTAATAACATAAATCGAATTTTCAGCTGGACGTACATTACGTACTGATCATTCGTACAAAAGGAGATCTTTACCAAAAAAGGCCGATAATTGCAATTTTCAATGTAAGTGGTTTACGAGTATAATTGAAAACAAATTAAAATTTAGATATGTATATTTATATTTGCATTTTTAAAAGTCTCGCAAGTAATTGTAAGAATTTTTATTAACGTTGTACTTACATTTCAGACTTTGCGTCCAACCTTCGATTGTTTACATATGGTTAATAAATGCCTTAATAAAGCACGTCGTAAAGCGAGCACGCTTTAGAGCATTGACTACAACTACTTATAACAGCTTCATTCCTATCGAGGTCATTTCCAGTTCTTCCAAGACTTCGTCTACCTGTAAAGGTTTTGAAATAACCAATTGGGTGAAATTACATACATACATTTTTTACGATTACTAAATACCTTTGATGAGAACTTGTCATTGGTGGGAAGTGGTGGTATTAGTTTAGGATCAGGAATTCGCAACTGAGTGTCCGCGATTTTAATATCTACATTTACCTGAAAGCCAATTTGATTAAATTCAAATGTATATAGCGAAAAAAATGCCTACAAGATTTTCCAGTTCTGCTTTGCATGTTTGCTTCATTAGTGTCCGGTAAAGGCTCATGTTATTACGATAGGCAATAGCTTCGTCTTGCAAAGTTCGCAAATGAAATAGTTGCTGTAGTCGGTCGTCTAAGGTAAGTAGAAAAGCGGTTTAACAATTCTCACAAAAAAAATGCAGTTTTTTACCCATTTCAAAGCTGATGAAAATTATTCCTTTCGATTTTTTTTCAATCTTTAAATACAACAGATTTCTTTGACGTTTCTCTTTTCATTTTTTTCGTGAGTTGACAGTTCACAATTTAATTCCTCGCACATTTATAACTAGTTTACACACAAAATTTGCTAAAACTGCTCTTCTTCATTCTTTTCTGAACCGTTTCAACCAAGGCGAATTTATACAAAGTGGAGTTGATGGCGAATTCATAGCCCTGTTCGCGTACGCACTATCCAGTAAATCCAGTACTAATTTTACTGGTTTTAACTGGATTTCGTTTTCGTACGCAAGAAACTAGCAAAAGAGGGCAAATTGAGAGAGCAAAAATGACAGCTGAACTTGCAAGTTTTACTGGATAAATTTTTGGTTATAATGCACGTAACGTAATGTTTTACATTGCGTTCAAGTGCATTATAATCGCTTGAATTTATTGCCCATACAATAGATATTTAAGTTACAGTTCACTCCGTTCCGTTACTTACATTATAATCCAGGCATTCGAGTTTGGCCGCGGTACTTATTAATCAGCCTATTCTGCATTTCGATTACGTTCCCGCATTCCGCTCCGCTGGAATCGAACTTAGTACAGTGTTGCCGCGAATCATTTTTAGTGGTAGCCAAATTCCTTTAAAAAAGAGCTAAAAAAGTCGTTGTGGCTAAACATTATAGCTAAAGTGTTTTACTTACATATACATATATAAGTATACACGCAAACATCTTCAAGAAGTAATGGTATAGAAAAACAATGAACTCTGGAAAAAAGCAAATATTTTATCCAACCAAAAACTTTTTTGTGTAAAAGGGGAAACATACCACACCGGCTTGCTGGCTCCAGCTTATAACTTACCAGCATGCTGGTTCAATATTTATTTCTTTAAAAATGAGCTTGAGGAAAGATCGAAATGATTAGAGCCGAAATTTCATAATTTGTCTACCATTTTCTTAAACATTGTTTTTTTTTCTTAATTCAAAACTGCAATATCGTGAACTTAATCTTCCACAACCACGGCTTTGACTTATATAGTGCAAGATTTTCCGCCAAAATACGTTTTACTTAGAAAATTGAGCTAGTTTCACCACTCACGACACCAGCAGTTGGTACAATCACACCACAAGAACATACACAGTCAATTGGCTTGATGGGTCATTTAACCAATTAAGGGCCGTAAGCTAACAGCCTTAACACTTTTACAGTATATATGTATAAAAAGGTTATGCAGCGTTTTTGCTGCATTTAAAATGCAACATTTAGCACTTTCGAACATATGTTTTCGAAGAGCGTTCATGCTACCGCATTTAGCAAATGTACATTTACGCGAGTTCGAAATCGTATGCTTTTGACAAACAGCCCTGTTCCAGTCGCTTATTCAGATCCGTATCTATTACGATAAATTCTCACGGAAAAGATAATGTGCAAAAACCCCTACTGAAAAGGAAAAAATTAATTCTAAACCGAAAATTCAATACAAAAACTTGAATTGTTTTAACCATAACCGAACATTTGTTTGTGTATATATTCATTTGTCGGCGCTGTCAATTATAATTTCCACACTTAATTAGGAAACAAAACAAACAGAGTTGATCACAAACTAATCCAGATTTCTATCAGCATCATATCGATGTTGAATTTGCGTAACTTTTCTTTATCCAAATAATTTAAAATAGTAAATGAGATCTCGATCGGCGATCACTGAAACGCAGCTAGCGACTGTATACTCGAAAAAGCAATGTTGCCAGTTTTTCTCATTAAACCATGTTCGAATCGTGGAAATTTTGGAAGATCACAGGGTTGCTTTTAGCATTTAGATTCTTAATGCAAAAATGGAGCTGCATTTAGTTGCATTTAGGTGACGAATTTTGTATGGATAAATGTACATTTAGAGTAGCATTTAGAGCTAAATGCGCTAAATGTGCTTTTACGCATAAGCAAAAACAGCCCATAAGGAACATACAATACACATATGTATGTATATCAGTCTTTCTTAGTTTAAAAATTCATCTCTTACATAAATGAAAATGAGATCAAATTAAGCATATACAACTTTTTCATGTCAAGTATAAGTAAATTCTCCAAAGGATTAAAAAATTGCTACGGTCAATTTTTAATTTATGTGGCCATAAAACGTATGTGGTAGCTAAATCTAGCCACCAAAGGGCTACAACGGCAACACTGCTTAGGTATTATTTATTATTTTATTTTATTTTATTTTATTTTATTTTATTCATTTTAGTGCAGTTTTGACACAATTTTCTTGCTAAAAAAGCTTTTGTAAATAAAAGCTTGTTTTTAAAAAATATTTTTTTTACATTTTATTTTCTAATTTTTAGTTCATTTATAAAAGCGTAGTATAGTATTTTGCAATAGATATTAAAATAATTCAACTTGCAATGAAAGAGAACAGAAGACTATGCAAGCAAAATGTTGTTTGCTTACGTTTTGTATAAACATACATATGTACATACATACATATAGCAGCAGTTAATTTCATTTAAAGAAATGGCGTGTCGTCCACTTCCGNTTCCGCTGTAGCGTACCTACGCTTTTACCTAAATGGTGCATATATTTAGGCGCAATATTTAACTTCTTCTGGCGGGGCGACATTTGGAGTCTTCTAATCCTATTTCCTTGATATGATGCCTACAACGAGGTGATTTCGTTTCATCAATTTAAGCATTTGATTTACGAAAAATTACACACATCAACAATCTTTGCGATTGTCAAAATTTTCTATGCGTTTGTCAAAAATTTCACTAGCCTCATGAGCTACTGAAATTTTATTCACCTCATAGTTGTCAAAAACCTTGTTACCGATTCACACACGCTCGAAGTTAGAAATGTGGGTTTGTGTGATTCTGGTTCTGTAATATGCTACACTTAAAAAAAAAACAATAAACATTAAATAAACAAAAGAAAAAAACCAAAACTGGTCAAAATGTCACTGAATCTAATCAGCTGACCACAAGGGTATATAGTAAAGCATCCAATCCCGGAAAATTTAATTAAAATATCCTAACAAATAGTTTTGTAGTCTTGCTTCAATGCGAATACTAGAAATAAAAATAAATTTGTGTTTTTAAGCAAAGAAATATATTTATTTTATATCAGTTTTAAAAGCTAATTACCAGCTGAACTAACTAAAAACTATGGAATTGAAATTCATTCATATTGCAGTCGCAGTCATTTTTACAAAAAGTAAAAATAAGAGATTATCTTTACGCTTACGATGTTTTTGCAAAACCGCCCATCGACCAGTTGCAAAACCGCCTAAATCGCCGTTGTGGCAAAAATGAGACTTTGTAGCGCTGAACTCCAGGCATCGAGATTTATGCATACAAATCATTAAATCGTTATTAAAAAAACAGACTTGTAACATAATAGCTAGAGAAAATACCGCCTATCAAGGCAATGCCTTCAAAGAATAAACCGTTTATTCGCTCTCCAGTCAAATTTGAGTGCCGTAAGATAGGCGGTTTTGAAAAACCATCGACGATATAGTATTTATACATACATATCGTCGTTCGTGCCAAAAATTGGATTTGCTCACACAAGCTCTTAGCTCAATCCTTATCCATTCGTCCTTAAATATACTAGCCAGAAATGCGATTGCTTTATAAAAAAAGAGGACCATTTTGAAATATTAGTGTTTTTACTCTCTAGAAAATAATTTATGCTACCTCACATACACAGTATATACAGTAATAAACCTTTTCGCAGTTTGTCACCATTTGGTCCCCGAGGAGTGCTTTTGGGTTGTGTGCAGCGCTTTCGTTTTTCTCGCATGGCAACACTTACTGTGGGGAATTTCGAGTCATGATTAGAAAAAGTTCGTTTCGAGGATAAAATATACATAATTATGTGTTGTTTACGATCAAAATGTAGGTGAAGTATATTATTCATCTTTAATGTATGCTGATATTCATGGGCGTAGCCAGGTAGGGGCAGGGGGGTGCTCGAGCGCCCCCTCCTAACTTTCAAATACCCGGAAATGCCAGCCCCCCCTAAATTTCATTCGATTCGGGGGCTCGACCCTATTAAGCTGGCATTTCAGGGTACTATTTGCGTTTTCAGCATTTAACCATTCATTATCATGTACGGTGTAATATTAATTATTATACACTGAACTATGAACTATGAACTATCTGTACTAGTATCTAAATAATAGACAATAATTTGCAATGTTTTTACACTTTTGCAATTAGTTTCGGGCACTATTACACATTCATGACTTGCGCCACTCTGCTATAGTACGGTTGTTGCTCCCTTTCATACCACGGTAATTTTGTATACAACTCTGAATCAACAAAATGCATGCTCCTTCTCATTTTCAACCCTGATCAGATTTTACCCCCGAGGAGTACTCAAAAAGGCTGTGTTAGTTCGTTTGGATTGTGACTAGGGATGCAAATTTTGGGGAGTAACATCGATACATCGATGTTTCAATGCATCGGAAAAATTAATATCGATGCTAAAATACATCGCCAGAAAAACATCGATATATCGATGGTTTCCGATGTTTCAAAAGTTGTTAGGTTGTAGTCACATTAAAACGAAAATTTAATACTTTTCAATTCAAACTAACTGTAATTCAATTAGAAATATACTTACATATGGATGTATTTCCATGTATTTATTTACCACTCCTTAACCCTTCCTATAAATAGAATAGAAATGCATGCCGTTGCACAGTGTTTCGACTATATGGAGGGAATTATGAAATTTGGTAAAGATGGAATGATTGCCACGCCTTCTACTCTTGTGGGCGGAAACATTAAATTTCATCCTATTTCGATTTCATCCTAGTTTGTGCTCACCTTTTTATTATAAAATATGGGGAAGATTGGATNGGTTTGTTATACAAAGATCTTTTATATTTTATTTTAGCATAGACGAGAAAATATGCGACATATACACGTGGAGTTTTCGAATATGGGTATATGTACATATGTATGTATGTATGGACATACACTTGTGGTCAACTAATTGAGTTAGTGTTATTTTGATTCTTTATGTAACAACCACCATATGCTAAATCCCTATTTCAAGCATTGACAAACTTTACAAAAATTCAACAAATTTCTAGCTGCTTTATATGGAATAAAATTCACAATTCTAGCTGCTTTATATGGAATAAAATTCACAACAGCGTTAACAAATTATTAAAAATCAACGCGATTGCTTAGCCACTTGAAACTTTATTCTATTCAAATCTAATGACCTATAAAACTGCATACCTAAAACTTTTCCAAAATTTTTGAATGAGTTGAAGTTTGAAATTTCGTCAAAAGTTTGTTGAATTTTAATAATTTTTGTACAAAGTTTAATATAAAGTTCATGATAAAAACATTACAAGGTAAAATCATTGAGAGGCAGTCTGACGTTTGCCAACAATATAATTTAAAAATTCGAGCTCAGGGCTCGAATCGTAATATCCGTTCACGGATCGAAAACCATACGAAAGAAAATTACGTGATACGTCAGGCAGTATAAGCTGAATGGGACAAAGAGTACGTTAACGTATGTCATAATCCGAAAAATGTGTTTTTACGTGACGAGTAGTACGATATCGTATGTGACGATTCGAGCCCAGGCTCACACACACATTCTCATTTACACAGACGAACGAGAGCACAAAGCGTGTTGCCCGAGCACGAGCAACTCGGTGCCCCTGCGTTTATACACGGAAACTTTTGTCGACGCGATTTTTCACATTCCCTTTTGGTGTTGCTCGTTTCATTTACACACGGCGATTTTTGTTGCCGCAACTCGACGTTTGTAGGAGAGAGCGTGACGAGGAAAGGAGAGGGGCACCAAGTTGCTCGTGCTCGGGCAACACGCTTTGTGCTCTCGTTCGCCTGTGTAAATTGAACCGCTGTTCTGACTGCACGGTGCAGCGATCAAAGGTGGCGCCGTTAGTGATACCGCTACACTTTGGTTTTGCCGATTTTGACAATTGTGGTAACTTGTAAATAAACCTTTGTTTACAAATCAGCGAAAGAGAAATTTTAATTATAAGTGAAAAATCTGTTTAAATTGTGTTAATTTGCAACTTGTGAGTGATTTTTGAGTTGAAGACTGCGTAAAAACTAATACAATGGAGTGCTGTGTGTTAAATTGCGACAGCCATGAAGATGCAAGAAGCGTAGATGCAAGTGTACCGCTGGGACCAATCGCTGCATTTTGTATACATAGGGCACAGCAAAGTCGTTCCCGAATTGTCTCTCTATTATTATATTAACAGCATTTCCTCAGAATGATTTTGCTTCTGCTCCAAGCAGCCTCCATTAGCAAGTTAACTAATCAATCCCGCTGAGATGCTGCCGCAGTTTAATTGCAAAGCAATGGAGTGAACTAAAACGATTGCTGAAGCAGCCTCAGTTGCAAATCAACGGAGTGCACTAAAACGTTACCTATTCTCTAAAAGATTAGGTGAAAAATGCAATATTTTCGCATTTAGCAAATTTAAAACACGTTTTTCGCTGTAAATTGAACTGTTTTGGCAGTTTCTACTCGTTCTTCTTTTCGCTTATTCTTTGTTTACTTGTGGTACACAAATGTCAACGGCCAGGACGGCTCAATTTTGTATTCTATCATTCTTGCAATTCCAACATGCCACAATTCGAACATGGTTTAATGAGAGCAAGTGGCAGCACTGCTTTTTCGCGTATACGTTGCTAGCTGCGTTTCAGTGATCGATGGAGATTTCATTTATTATTTTACATTACTTTGATAAAAAGTCCCGCTAATCCAATTTTTATTGATATCACCGACAAGTTGTTTTATTACCCAAAAACATTTTCGGTTATGGTTAAAACAGTTCAAGTTTTTGTATTAAATTTCCTGTTTAATTTTTTTTTTTTAATTTTTGAGTATGTTTTTTAGCATGCTTTCTTCTCTATGCGAATTGATCTCTGTAAGTACGGAACTGAATAAGCGACTGGCACACGGCAGTTTGTCAAAAGTAAACAACTTTGAAATCGCGTAAATGTGTATTCGGTAAATGCGATAGCATGAACGCTCTTCGAAAATATAAGTTCGAAAGTGTTAAATTTTTTTAATTTGACAACTCATTTTGTATTTTACCCGCGCTGCTTCGTACTCATTTCAACTCACATTCTGACTAGGAATGTTCGATATTTAAGAAAGTATCGATATCATGAATCCATTTAATTCATTGCATCTAAAATCGATATGGCGATATATCGGGCTGAACAATATCGATATCGGAAAAATCGATGTTGAAAATCCTAGTCCCAATTGAATAGAATATTATACCTGCCTGTCAACTCACCGATTGTGTTATTTCCATCTGGTATATTTACTGAGGATTAAGGCGGCATGCCGGTCGACTCAAGCGGTTTGTCAAACTTGAGATCTAAATAAATTATGCAAGCAGTTGATTAAACCTACTTTAGTATTTTCCCATACAATTTTTGGTAGATTAAAAATAAATTTCAACTTAAATATCGATATTGCGGGTAAAGTATCGATGTCTTCGATAAATCGACCTTGGAATATCGATTCAAAAAATCGCTTATCGTGCCATGAAATATCGATATTCAGAATAATCGGTACGATATCGAACATTCCTAGTTCTGACCTGTATCGCACATTCTATCATTCTCTCGCTGTTCGCAGTATTCTTCCACTTGTCGTTTCTTGCTGTCGAATATTCTACGTCTTTCGTCGAACATTCTGCCATTTTCTTGTTGTTCGCTTTGCGTTGCCGCTGTGTTCGCCACAGTACTATAAAGCATGTATCACACGCTTTGTACATATTTGTACATTTTCACAGTTACAGAGAGGTGTTATTTGGAAAGTTGTTATTGAGCTAAACTCATTCTCGGCAAAAGTTTTTAGACAACACCACTCTGTGGCTGCCAAATGTGCCAATGTAAAAATCGTGTGATCCCTGCTTAACAGCTATTATAGATTTACGTTCTTCGGTTGCCCACTGTACGTAGAAATAAAAAGGGTGGCAGTATTTTCACTCGCTAGTTCTTCTTTTTTGTTAAACGAGCGAGTGGCTCCTCGTGCCTGTCGTTCGTTCGTGACGGAACGATACCGAAAACGATATTGCTGCAGCAGAAAATTGCAAAAAATTGCTAGAAAATCGCAACGGTAAATTATAAAACTATTGAAAAACTATAATTGAAGTGCAACAGTGTTATTTGATCATAATTTTTGTGCGGTAAACAAAATATTGAGTTGAAAAAATGCGTTTGAAAAGTTTGCCTTTCACGGGAAAATTTTTTCATTGCTTACACACTTGGCTTATGTGAAATACGTGTGCGTGTGTTTGTGTGTGGAGCCATGAGTGAGTCGATGTGAGTACGGCTCCGCTGACTGTTCGTTTTCCACTTTGTGACCATTTTCATTCGCCTTGTGCTTTGTGTTTTGCTTCCGAGAAGTCTCGAAAAGTGTGATTTGTTCGTGCGGTAGGTGCCTATGGCTCGTCCGTTCGGCTGGTTGATCATTATTCGGTAGTGTGTAAAATGTAAATGGAAGTATTAAAGATCTAAAATGCTTTCAAGTTTGTTAGATAATAATTTATCGAAATATGAAAATTGACGTGCATTGTGCGCACGTAAAGGGTTAAACATTTCAAGTTACTTGTGGTTTGCTTCTATCCAATGAAGGAAATTAAGGTTTACATACTTGTAATAAATCACGCTATGAATGTATATCTTCTAATTATAAATGCAAATGTTGGTTGTGTCTCTAATTATTAATAAATTTTGGTACGCAATTTTAATTCGATATGTACCTTTTGACTAACTTACTCAAATGTAAGAACTCGGGGGGGGGGGGGAAATAAATTTCTTGAAAGCATAGTCATAACTTGGGGACGACGAAATTAACAATTCAAAAACAAGTGTAGCTTTAATCAAAAGCGTAAATATGTACATTGTAGATTACAAAGGATCACATCTTTTTTATACGCCCCTCTAATATGGTAGGGGCGACGCAAGCCATTTTTTCTTCGAGGAATTTCTTTTAACGAAAACGAATATTCGCCATTTAGAGGATAGTGGAAAACGGAAAATTTGAAAAATGTAAAACGCAAGAATAGTCGATCAAGAGGAATGCGAGAAATTGCCGAATTGGGCAAGAATAGGAGAGTTGCCACTTGTTCACGGTTGAGAACAAATGACTGGTCAAAATGATAGATACGCACTATAAATTATTTACACAAGGTTGATTGTAAAAAATAATTCCAGAATGTTGACCAAGATGTGATCAAATTATATATGGTCGTAGGCCACGTATGATCTTCTATGTATGTAGGTTTGTTTTACTTGTATTTTTTTTCCACGCAGTGTTGTATTTTCCCATAGTGTGCGTACCTGTGTTTCTTGTGGATTGACTTTTCAGCTGGTAGCACTTGAAACGCGTTTAGAGAATAGGAGGTAGGTACTAGTGCTGGAAAAACACCGATGTTTGCGCACATCGATGTTTTTGGGGGAGCAACATCGATGTAATTAAATTGCGAATTTTTTTAATGTTGGCCGAATTCATTAACGCAGTTATGCAAACCATCAGTCTCTTTAATTTCATAACCATACAATATAAATGAGTTCAATTCGGACTTTGTTTTGAAAGAGAGTAATAAATTTTTATTCTAATATTTTTCTGCTAATTTTGTATAAAAATATGGTTCATTCAACACAAAAAAAAAAAATAAAAATATAATTCCTAAGCTTTGTGCAAAACTCGCAAAAATTCAACAAATTTTCATCAAAATTTTAAACTTTTTAATCAAATTTGAGTATGCGGTTTTGCAGCCCATTGAATTCTAGTAAAAAATGCAAGTTCGAAGCTAGTCAAAAATCGCGTTGATTTTTGAGATTTTTTTTGTCGAACGTGTTTTGCATTTTTTCCATATAAAAAAAAAAAAACAAATTGTATGGAAGACTGCGTGAAAAAAAATTGCCAAAAATCAGCGGTAATTCCTAGCTACTTAAATTTTGCACTTTATTATAATAAAATTGATTGGGCTACAAATCTGCATACTCAAACGATTCTAAAAAAATCTGATTCAAAGTTGAAACTTCATGAAAATTTGCTAAGTTTTCGCGAGTTTTGCGCAAAATATTAGAAAGAAGATTGTTGCATACATTGTGAAAAATTTGCTGTGCCGATACTTTGTTACATAAACACAGTCCTACAAAGAAGCCTGCGACTTAAAGATTTCAAGTTGTGCCAATTTTTCACTTACCTATGTGATGGTTATAGAGAAAAACATCGAACATCGAAAAAACATCGATGTTTGAAATAATTCAAAAACATCGATGTATCGATATTTCATCGATGTGTCTTCCAGCACTAGGAGGTACAAACAAACCGAGTGGAATAAGCCGACCTAAAGTTGCTCTGCTCTGCCTTTTCATTTACTGCTCCACACATAGTTGAATCAAACGCAAAAGTACGTATTTCACGTATTTCATTGTTTAAAATATAAGTATATGTTTGTATATATATATAGCTTGCCTTTAAGTAATTGCTTATTCCTTTTGTGTGATATAGAAAAATCTTCAACAAATTTTACTAGGTGGAACAATCTGGTCTGAAACGAATTAAGATATTGAGTAATAGTGATTAAAATCTTAATAAGACAAAGTGAAACTTCAATAAATATTCACATTCATACGCATAGTGCAGTGAAGTAAAAAACTAAATTAATACGGATTACAATGAATAATGATGAAAAAAGTAACGACTTAAGTGTTTGTTCTGCTGTTACAATCACAACTACATCGGCGCCAACGTCAGTATCCAATATTATTAAAACAAAACCCTCAACAGCAGTTACAGTGGCATCAACAATTAAAGCACAAAAGTCTACTGCAACCAAACTGAAGCAGTCGGCGAATCTGCAATCAATAAAGAAAGCAGCCAACAATAACAACGCTAGCATCAAAAGCAATAACAGTAGTTTAAAGTTGGCAGCAGTAGCAGCGGCTGCTAGCACATCTGGGGCATCTACAAACATCTCCATCAACAACAAATACACTGTAAAAAAGTTGCCGAGGAATGCAACGAAGCAAGGTGGTGGTACCAATAAAGATTTGACGACCAACACCATCAGCACTGACAGTGGCAGAGAAAGCAAAACTATTGAAGCCAGCTTCAAAAAAACGGCTAACAACAATAATAACAGTAAAATTACTATAAAGAAATTAATTGAAAACAACCATACTAATATTTCTGGTTCCACAGTTCCCGCAGCAGCCGCTGCATCTAATGGCAATAGCAGCAACAACACCAATAACACCAACAGTAAAATGTCCAAAATCGCCGCGTCCAAAGTTGCCGCCTCCAGTACCAACAATAACGTAAGTGCGGTAACAGCGGTAGATTGCGCTAGTGGTACAACGACAACTCCAGCATCAACCGTTACGAGTACGGGAGTTGGTACAGATGGCGATCAAGGATCCAACAATAACGCCGTCACATCTACTCCTATTCCTGCAATAGTTTCGAACGCACCTGCCAATACAACGTCTTTAAACCCAGCCAGTGGCGGTGGCAACGGCAAAACATTGGGATCAACAAACAAGAAATCTTCAACCAATGCTTCTACCGTCGCCGTGGCCGCAACTGCTTCTGCAAAAGCAAAAATTTACCAAATAAAAACAAATCCGCTGTCACTATTAGTGAGCTCCTCACAGAATGCCACAGTTCCCGCAAAAACAAATGGCGGTGGCGGCAGCAGCGGTAATAACAGCAATAATAATACCGGGGCAACGTCACGCGTTGGAGCAGTTGCTGCAATTAAGCAAAAGCTGAAAGCTTCCTCTGCGGATGCTGCAGCTGCTGTTGGTATACCCACCGCTATAGCCGCCAATTCTCGATCCGCCTCATCGTCAACATCGTCCAATCTATCGTTGGCCTCGTCTGGCACTAGACAGAAACGACCCAGCGAAAACTCGGATACAGACACGGAGATATCCCGTCAACCACCAGATCTTTCCGAATCCGATGAGGAATCGGTTTCAGAATCCGTAAGTTCAAACTGCAATCCTATTACTTATAAAGAAAGAATCGTCATAAGCAGGGCAAAATGTCTTTCATATAGGGCTGTGCGATTATTCGATTACTCGAGCAAGTTGGTTAATCAATTATTCGGTTAATCAATTACTCGAGTAATCAAGATTTCGATTACTCAAAACGATGATTAATCGAGTTACTTGAAATATGATTACTCAAAAAAAAATATTTTGCTCGTTAATAGAGTTTGCTTTGGAAAATGCTTATTTTCGTTTTTACATTCTGTATATGAAAAAAATTTTTTGTTTTAATTTTTGAAAACAGAAACGTTGTTTTCAAAGTATCGAGGAAAATTAACTACTTTATACTTATGTAAAGAATTGAAATGTTGATTACTCATTTTACTCGAGATGTTGATTAATCATAAAGCATTTTACTCAAATATTTTTGTTTTTGGTTAATCAAAAATCTTGATTACTCGAGTAACTGAACTTTTGAGTAATCATAATTTCCAATTAATCGAATAATTGAGTTATTTACTTTATGATTAATTAAAATTTTGAGTAATCAATTAATCGCACAGCCCTACTTTCATATAATCGCATACCAAAATTTCATAAATGAAAAAAAAAAGATTTAAAAGCATTTTTAAAATAGCGCTGTAGCAATATCCTGCGAAAATTTGATATTTTGTTTGCTTCTGTAAATTTCAAATGGCCAGATAGAGCGTTTTGCCTTGATGGTGACGAAATGTTTTTTATTAAGAATACGTACATTTATCACCACTTCTAAATCTGCTTTAATTGAACTGAACAATTTACCGTATTTATTAAAAAAACTATGTATTTAAGCGATTCCCCTTATCATACATAAGACTTGTTGCATGCAGAAATTCATAGACTTTTCTTATAAAGTTCGAAGGAGTTCACTAGGGGATTACTTTAAGATGCCAAAAGGAAAAAAATTTACACCACATATGGACATATGTACATACATACTATTGCTCGCTTGCTGGAAGAACTTCACAACTCAAAGAAGGGCTATACATTTTTTTATTCGCGCAGGTTAAAGGGAAACAACTAGTGTAGTGTGCACACCTCTTTTATTTTAATGGTGTAGCATCGCCAAACAAATGTAACAGATTTGAATAATATGCGGTAGATTTTCCAATTCATATTTTTATTGTGTACACTTATGTACATTAGACTGCATCGCTCCCCATACAAAGAAAAATCGGTACTATTTTTCCATTGGAATTATAAATTCTATTATATTTTAAGAAGTCCACGAAAATATTTCGAAAAAATATTAAGATTTAAGTGAGCTGGACCAATTTCAAAATACCTCCAAAAATGGAGTTTTTTTTAATAAAAATAGTTTCTTAAATTTTTTTTTGAAAAAATCACCTGAAATGACAAAACGGTTTAAGCTTAAAAAACTTGCATATAAATATTAAAAAAAAATAAAAACAAAAAATTGAACGTAACCGTATAGATGAGATTTTTGATGCTGTTTTTTAACTTTTTTCAAAGATTTGTATAAGAAAAACTTGAATAACTGAGCCTAAACTCTTCTGATTTAAACTTAAGAGGTGTCGGTGGAAAGGTATTTTCTCACCATTTTTATTTCTTTGCTAATAAACTTATTCAAACGATGAAAGAGAAAGGTAGGACGAACGAACGTCATTCAAAGTTGAATTAAGAAGTGTTGGTATTTGAAAAAAAAAATTTAGACACGAATGATACTTTTTTGGACAGAAATAAAAACAGTGTGAAAATACCATTCTACCGAGATCCCATAAGTCTAAATCAGAATAGTTTTGACCCAGTTATTCAAGTTTTTCGTAAATCAATCTATGAAAAAAGTAAAAAAAAACAGCATCAAAAATCTCATTCTTACGATTCCGTTGAAAAGATTTTAAAATATTTTTATGCAGATTTTTTAAGCTTAATCTGTTTTTTCAGTTTTTTCAAAAAATTCTTTACGAAACTATTTTTATTCATAAAACACTCCATTTTTTTAGGTATTTTCAAATCGGTCCAGCTCACTTAAATCTTAATATTTTTCCCAAATATTTTGGTAAACGTCTTAAAATTTAATAAATTTTGTAATCCCGGCGGAAAACCCGCAACTTTTTTTGGTGATGCAGTCTAATGTACATATATCGAATACTCAATGTATGTTTATATATGTATATATATATGAAAATTTTCGTTCGGGTAACATACGCATACTTTGATTTATGGATTAATTTTTAAGAACCCTGCAAACCATTTTTTCAAAGTATTGTAGAGGAGTTTCAAAGAATTCGCAAAGATCATATCCGATGTTTTGTCGAATTTTCTAAAATAAAATAAACCGTGCACACTTCAATTCTTTTACGATATTTCGGAAGAAAATCGGGAAAGCAATGGAAATAATGCTGCTATGTGATGAATTTCTAGCAGATTTTTTTCAGAATTTTCTTTATTTTTCATATAAATGATTTCTTTACGAGTTCGTGTCAATCACTTATACCATATTCCTTGAAGATTCGTAAAAAAAAAATCGTCACAGGAATGAGATACTCCTAAAGATTTCGTTAAGATTTCGGGAACTTTGGTTTGCAGGGAAACCACAATTTATTCTTTGAGCCTTCAAACATAAGTAAAAAACTAGAAACTGAGTTTTCAACCTTGGTAATGTAGAAAAAAACTAGATACCTAAAAGCATGTTCACGTTATAGTAATTTACGGCTCATTTCTAATTTATAAGTAAATCAGTAAAAATTTTGTTCAAAATTTCACCGTCATATCGGCGGTTATTTTGAATTTTGGAAATTCTGACTTTGTATTCGTAATCAGTGGGCCCTTCAGATTTATGTTCAGCGACTACAAAAAGGAATAATAATATCTAATAGCGGTCGCTCCTCGGGGCAATGGCAAACCTCCGAGTGTTGTCTGCAATGAAAAACAGCTTCTGATAAAAATACAATCGCCATTCGGAGTCGGCGTTATTCGGTTTTTTGACGTCGACTAGACTTGGCACAACGGGGATCAGGTCGAATTATTTAATTTTTTTTGCGATAGATATATAGTATGTATGTACTATGTATAGGTCCATTCAATAACTTTTCCAGTAAGTACTTGCAGCGAGAGCGTAAAAGAAAAATAGAGATAGGAAGAGAAAATTTTCAGAAAAAGTTATTGAACGCAAAACTAGTAAACACTTGCAACTTAAGCCATTTTGACACTCTGACGGTGAAGTTTTGCCGCGCAAATTTCTTTTTAATTGGGAATAGTTCCCATCGCCATAAAAATAAAAATATATACAATAGATTTAAATTTTTCATCCATGTTTTCATATTACTAATTATGTTTCATCAAATCATCCTCTTAAACAGTTTGTTTACTTTGGAATTTGAAGCATAACCTTACTTTTTGACTCCTGCAAATTTCTACTAGTAAAATGTTTAGTTGCAAGAATTTGCACCTCTCTCGGGTTGTTGTGCTCGCGAATTCGCTCTCTCTTGCAAATATTTTGGGTTATTGAATGCATTTCCAGTAACAACTTGCAAGTACTAGTAACAATTCGTAACAATTTTTTGATATTGAATGGACCTTATGTACATATGTATGTATATGAATCGATTTTTGCTTCGCATACTTTCAACGTCTTCATCATCGTGTTAGTCATCTTTGGATAAGTTTGTGTGCCGAATATTGGGCGCATAATGCAGACAAAAGTAAATATGTATGCACATGTGTGTCCGTAAATATATTTGCACATAGGGCAAATATGTGAATTGATGCATATAAAGACTTGATGAATGAAGCCCATATTTTTTACAAGTCCAATTATGTAAAACGGGTTGTTGTTATTGCAGCGAGTTGCTGTTGACATAATATTATTTAAGGTTTATTATTTTTCCATAAAAGTCTAGCTCATAATATAACAAACACCACATAAATCCAGATTTCAAACTTTGTGCAAAAATTAGGAAAAATCTGCAAATTTTCAGCTAGATTTCAACTTTTTATTCAGATTTTTTAGATTTTTTTTTGAATATGCAGTTTAATAGCCCATAAAATTCTAGGGTAATAATGTGCAAGTCTTAAGTTGCTAAATAATTCAACTGGTCAAAGTAAAAAGTTTCTATTATTTCTTCCACCACTGTAAATACATACCTATGCGGTCTTAACCAGAACAACTGTGAGTTTGGCTAAATATTTGATGGCCTTGCAGATATAACTTGTCCAGTTTTAAATGTGAATTTTCATACATTTATTAGTCGTATGATTCCTGGTTTGACCATTATGAAATGTATAAACCATTACTTGAAACGACCAAAATATCAATATTTGGACAAACTTTCTGCGGAAAAATTTTAATGAATAATTACCATAGAAAGTACAAATTAATTGGTTGCCAGGGGATTATTTAATTTGGCGGTACTGTCAGTTCCATAAAATATTCACCAATTATTTTTTTGTCTTAACTGCTATAAAAGATTTCACTAAAATTAAACCTTTGCTGGATGCATCAATAGAACCACAAAATGTGTAATATTTCATGCTGTACATGGGAAAAAAGGCATCGATAGTGACAGAAAAAACATCCATAGTGGGGGAAATTGGAAAACATCTTTACTATCGATAGTGCCATCGATGGTTTTCCAGCTTTACAAAGGATAATGAGAAGAGAGGTGGCAAACTTTTAAATGAATCTAAATTAAGCGGGGTTTTGTTGCTGTTGTCTTTGGCCAGAAATATGTCTTTATCACTCCCGTAATGCATACCGAGAATAATAGAATACCCACATCGTGAATACAGGCTTGTCTGTCTTATAGCCCGAACACAATGAAAACGACGAGCTACAAACCACAGCTGTCAAATTATTTTAACACGTACTCTTATGTAGATAATTATTTTGGCGACGACCGGGCTACGCGACGGCTGTGGTTGTGGCCAGATTAGATCCATTTCTATTTTTCTGGCGACAGATAAGGTTCTTCCTCTTCTTTTATGTCAAACTCATACAAATTCATGATGTCGCTGCCGCGTTCAAAGAAATCATGTCGCCATCGACAAAGCGCTTAGATAATAAAGATGACAAATTGGAAGCTGTGGTCGGTAGCTCGTCGTTTTCAATGTGTTCAGAACTTTAAGAACGATGGTTTGTGGGAAGCGCTCTCTAGCTTTACCATAGTCATCGACCTCAATGTAATGTTGTTTTTAGTTCTGTTGTTTTTATTGGTGTTATCGTTACCTTGCCATTATCTTCATAAATATTTATGGTATGTATGCATGTGCATATGTACATATGTATGTATGTTGCTGTCGATTACCATTTCGATGCGAAATTCCCACAATGTATTTTTTTGTTGTTTTTTTGCTGTCGTCATCATCTTTGCTGTCGCCAGATCGGAATTCAGAAACCCACCGTCGTAGTTCCGTCGTCGACGACATTTCTGTTGTCATTTTATTTCAGAGCATACATACACATACATATGTGTGGATTTGCAGTATTAACTATCACCTCTAGACTGTGGAGCAGAAATTCATAAATTGAGAATGCATAATACAAAAATACGAATATACATATTTAGACATTCTCATAATGTCGTAGTTACACAGCAGCACTATCGCCTTGTCTGCTTTGCTATTATTCTTGCAAGCCAAAAAAACACGTTGCTCAAATTCAGTTTCCTCTCTTTCCCTTTGTTTTTACTGAACAAATTCCGATTGCACGAACAAAAGAAGTGATTACTCGGTTATGGTGTTGATTTTTACTGTTTTCGTTTTTTTTTTTTGCTTATATGTCCATATATGCCTTTCGACTTCGAGTTGGATGGTCGGTCATTATACTGAACTTTTATTGTTTGTTTGGAAAAATGTTTGGTGGACTTACAATATTTGTGGATGACGAAGGAACGTGGCTCATGCTAAACACACCAACCGAGAAGAAAAATTTTATTGGGCTAGGGGCGGCCGTTTTTAATGAAAAAATTGTGTGGAAAACAACCATAATTTACACAAAGGTAGAAGTTATAGGCGCTATTTCGGAAATCACCTTATCTCCTCATAAGACTTCTTCAACCGGAGTCACTGGAATATGATTTTTTTTATGAAAATGTAGTTAATTCTACAACAAACACTATACAATTAAAAGTTTTAAACTTTTTTTGCAAAAAGTATCAAGTATCAACAGGTTTTCAAGCTAGCTTTTATTCATAATTTTTAGAAAATTATAGTGACTAACTTGTGACTTGGTGCTAGGCCTTTTTTCCATATAAAAAATTTAAGTATGCTTTGTAGGGAAAAATGCACTTCTTCAACGAAAAAAATCTCAAAAATCAGCGCGAATTTTGAGGCACTTCCAACTTGCACCAGGGTTGAGAAAAATTTTTTAGAAAGACAAATGACCAGTAAATAAATTTGAGTTTTCGTTATTCGTAAATAATTAAGTTTATTCCATTATACCCAAAAAAAATGACGTTCATTGACGTTTATGCTTTTCATAAATGTTTCATTTAATTTCATTTATTAAACAAATGCTATAGTCATTTTATAGTACAACAACAATTATAAGGCACAAGAATAAAATAAAACAAAAAAGTGACTAAACCTAAAACTAACATTAGCACTAGCATTGCCACTTCAACAAATTATTACTTTGGAAATATTAATGTATTTTGAGTAATTCGTGTCCTTTAAGAAATTTAGTAGGCTGTTGCTTTATTTCTCGCTTTTGAATGCTTTAATCGTGCGTTCAAAATAGAATATTAAAGTTGTCCAAGCCCTTATTGGAAAACGTAGCCAAATTTTTTTTTTTATTTTTTGTTTTTAAATCTTTGGCCACTCAAGTAATTTATTAATTAATTGGTACGGAACTAGTGCACTTAAATTTTTTTATTGTCTTCTTAACTATAGCAACAGCCTTTTTAAGAGCCTGCTGTGCTTTGAGATTTTCAAATTTAAAAAATGTGATATTTCTAAAGTAATTTCACCCTTTTGGACTCCAGAATTGCTTGACCATTTGATGAAACTTAAATTTTTTAGCCGTCAACTGTGCACTAAATTTCAGTAAATACATATGTACATACATACTATGTCAGTTCAAAAATCGAACACTAGCTGCAGAAAGCTCAGTAGATGCACTTCATATGCGCTAGTTCGAAAGGTGTCAACGACGCTGAAGTGAAATTTCTTTGGAAATTGATTTTTTCTTTTGTTTGAAGGTTAAACACCAGAAAAACGTGCAAACTATCAGCTACAACTGCAATACATATTTAATTGTGTGTGTATTTATGTAGACACATAAACACAAATGTACTCTATTAGTGGTGTGGCTATGTGTATAAATAAAGCATATCATAATTGCGTTTTACGAAAGCGAACAAGATATCTGAACTTTGCTCACAAGTACAAAATTTATGTACCAAGAATAAAGTTTTGAATGAATTAAGTTAAGGAAACAGTAGAATCGTTGAGCTGCGCCTCAATTGTCGATGATTCATGCATTTCTTTAAATTCTCAAACCATATGACAATGGCCAAGGAACAAGCTGTCGGTCGGCCATCAGCCGCCGCAGACAGACCAACGAACCCCCAAATAAACGAATGTCCGAAAGAAAACGAGTTAATGGACAATCGAGTTTATTTTGTATATTTTCTTTAATTTTTGGTTTTGGAGCAAGGTAGCAGAGTGTGTATAATTCACTTTGAGAAATGTAAATGAAAGCGGAATGTCAAATATATGCACGAAGCGACTAGTAAATGATGAAGTAAAGAACCATGAGGAAGCACAAATTAAAACATAAATTGACAAAGAAACAAGTGCGAGAAGCATGAACCGATAATCGGTGCACAACTCATCCATTCCATTTTCAATCCATTTCACTCCATGATATGTGTGCCGTCGGCTTTGCAGCTGTAGTCAATGGATGTCGTTTTTGCTGTCATTAACTGACGACGTCGTCGTCGCCGCAGTCCGTGTCGTCATTGTTATCGTCGGCTTTGCAATATGTTTGGGTTGGTCACGTTATTTCACGAAATCGTGCAGATTTTTACAGTGTACGTTTTGATACGAGCGTAGCTGATGGCTACATTCGGGGAAGCAAATTCGTCTCGTTGATCACACAAAGACCGCACAAACATGTGCACATGCATGGTGCAAAATGGTGGCCCGAATAAAGGGACAAGCATAGAACAGGAGGGATGAACGGCAAGCCCGTTTGTATTGTGGGAGTTATTGAACCTACATACGTTTTTTTTTACCTTGAGTGTTTTTCTCATATAACTACATAAATATATTTAAATACCTAAGATATTCACACGTATTTACCTTCATACATTCTAAAAACTAATTTAATTGTTTAGTTCAAGAATGTGGTAAAATTAAGAATCTTTGTGACTGGTTTAGGTGGAAGAGAACTTACATTTTCGACGTTAAACTGTGCTACTTGTAATATGTATCATCAATACTTCAGTTTCCTATTTGAATTTTTCTTATTCCTCTGTTTGGGAATTTCAATTTCTTTCACTTGACCTTCAAAAATTATGTTCACAGATCATTGACTTTTTATGCTCTCACTCCTGAAGTATTATGCTGCAATCATTTTGAAAACGCTATAACCACGACAGAGCTGCATCATCCATCTATCCAAACGTTTGTTTCTTTTGATTTTATTTTTTTCTTTCGTTCTTCTTTTATAGATCCTTTTGGCATGCTTGTGTCTAAGGCCAGATCTTCTGGTAAGTTTCGCCGTATTTGCATTTTTTAACCTAAAAAATCTCTGCCCCCAAAAATGGACGAAATTTCTGATGAGAAAAAGATTTTATTGCGCCAATTTAGTAATAAATAACAAAGCTTAATAACTAAATTGCCTAGGCATATTAATAGGTTTTTATTAGTACCTACTTACAAATAAAACATTTTATTAACATTTATATAATTATGTAAAAACATATATTGAGAATGGCAGCTTTAATGCTCACTTTTCGTTCGTTTATAAAAAAGGCGATAGTGCCACTAACAACAATGCGTCATATTATATCTTATTAACAGTGGGCATTAACCCGAGTAATTCTAGAAGATTCCCAAATGGGTGGCCAAAGACACAAGAATGCGTGCGTCTACTACTTACAACCCCGATTAACTTTTGCGCCAAAGAGAGAATGATTTTTGCCTGCATTTTTCGTTACATACTTTTGTACATGCATACAAAAATACATACTTACAATAATTTTTTATTATTATTATTTTTTTTTATTCGTGGACTTCCTTTTTCTTGAACAATTTCCACTGTTTTCCGCTCACACATACATATGTACATACCATGTATACGCTTTTATTGTATGTAACCATTTTGTTTTGTTCTAATTTTTTATTTTTATTTTTTTTTAAAGGATGACATTCCCGAGTCTGACGCTGATAGTTGTGGACACGAAGAGGATAACGAGTCTGAGGAGGACAACGAGGATGAAGAAGATGATGAGGAGGAGATCGATGATGAAGATGAGGAAGATGAGGATCCGCCAAATGAAGTGAGTGGCAATTTCTCAGTCGGCTCCGAAGAGGAAGAGGAGGATGAAGACGAGGAGATTCAGGATCCAAATGAAGTGAGCGGAAATTTCTTACTTGACGCCAACAATGATCGCTGCGCATCTCTCTTCGAGGGTTAGTACAATCGGAAGCTTTAAAGAAAGGTCATAATTTGTATTTATTATAATTCCAAATATAAATATTTTAGATGAGAAGCCACCCGTGTTACGCCATGTCACCCACGCGATCGATGAGACTAAACAGGCTCTAACGAAAATGCGTGGCGCTACCACCCCTCGTGACAAAACGTAAGTAAAATGAAGATAACAAAGGGAAATAGGTACTAATTTCTTACCACATTCACAGCATCTTCTCTCAAACCCTTATTGCTGCCTGCACTGACAACGATGTGCCGACGGTTCGTCGTTTGCTTAGCAAAAGCAATGTGAACATAAGCGAATCCACCGATGATGGCGAATCATTACTGTCGATGGCTTGCTCAGCTGGCTATTACGAGTTGGCGCAGGTGCTATTGGCCATGCAAGCTGCGCAAGTGGAAGACAAGGGCCAAAAGGATTGCACACCTCTGATGGAAGCTGCCTCTGCCGGTCATTTGGAAATTGTCAAACTATTGCTGAGTCACAATGCCGATGTGAATGCCCATTGTGCCACTGGAAACACGCCCTTGATGTTTGCTTGTGCGGGTGGCCATGTTGAAGTGGTTAAGGAGCTGCTAAAGCATGGCGCCAACGTTGAGGAACAAAACGAAAATGGGCATACACCATTAATGGAAGCCGCTTCAGCTGGTCATGTTGAGGTCGCTAAGGTGAGAGAAAGAACTAAGCATAAATTTCGTCGAGTATTCAGCAGCATATGATGATAATCCGAGATTTGAGACAAGTTAAAAATGCTGAGCAGCAATCTCATTGCTTTTATTATGATTGAGTTAATAATCATAATTGTAATGTGTTTTTGCGTTTTGGCAGTCAATGAGCTAGTTTGATCTTATTTGATGCTATTATACATATGTAAAATGCAACATTTTCATTAAGTTTTATTTTTCTTCATCCGCGATAACTAATTAACTTAAAAAATTGCAGGTTCTTTTGGATCATGGTGCCGGTATAAACACCCATTCAAATGAATTCAAGGAGAGCGCCTTAACGTTGGCCTGTTACAAAGGTCACCTCAGTATGGTTCGTTTCCTATTACAAGCCGGCGCCGACCAAGAGCACAAGACCGACGAAATGCACACCGCTTTAATGGAGGCATCCATGGACGGTCATGTTGAAGTCGCGCGCTTGTTGTTAGACTCAGGTGCCCAAGTGAATATGCCAACCGATTCATTTGAGTCGCCACTTACTTTAGCAGCATGTGGGGGGCACGTAGAATTGGCCACTCTCTTAATTGAACGGGGCGCTAACATCGAGGAAGTAAATGACGAGGGCTATACGCCACTTATGGAGGCTGCACGTGAAGGTCACGAGGAAATGGTTGCACTCCTGTTAAGTAAGGGTGCAGATATTAATGCGACTACTGAGGAGACTCAGGAAACCGCGCTTACCCTAGCTTGTTGTGGTGGTTTTAGTGAAGTTGCGGAGTTCCTTATAAAGGAGGGAGCCAATTTAGAGCTTGGCGCGTCCACGCCGCTTATGGAAGCTGCCCAAGAAGGCCATACGGATTTGGTGCGCTTCCTGCTGCAGAATAAGGCTAATGTTCACGCGGTGACGCAAACTGGTGACACGGCTCTAACACATGCTTGTGAAAACGGTCACACAGACGCGGCTGAAGTGCTGCTCAGCTATGGGGCAGAATTAGAACATGAATCCGAAGGCGGGCGGACGCCACTTATGAAGGCTTGCCGCGCCGGTCATTTATGTACTGTTAAATTCCTCATACAAAAGGGCGCCGATGTGAATAAGCCGAGCAGCAGCAACGATCATACACCGCTTTCTTTAGCCTGTGCAGGCGGACATCAGGCAGTGGTCGAGCTATTGCTTAAGAGTGGCGCAGATCCTTTCCACAAGTTGAAGGACAATAGCACTATGCTGATTGAGGCGGCCAAAGGCGGTCATACGCGCGTTGTCGAACTACTTTTCAAATATCCGCTATTCGTACAAAATCATCAGAACGAACTACAGTCGGCTGCGGCCGCAGCAGCTGCTGCTGCTAATGCTGCAACTGCAGCGGGGCCTGCGGTAATCAATAACACTGCAACCACTGGTCAACTGCGGTTCATAAATCCGCAACAACAGAAACAATTCCAGCAACAGTTGCAACAGCTAAGTGCCCCGCCCGGTTTGCAGGTATCTGAAGCAATGCGGGTCTCCAACCAGCAGCAGCAATTCCATCAGCAACAATTCAGCGCAAATACCTTGCCGAACACCAACGGTACGACCGCCAACAATATTGTAGTGAACACGACAGCTGCCGCATATACCGAAGAACATTTGCCATTGACTTCGACTACGGATGCGAATGGCGAGGAGTTTGCTGCCATCGACATCAATTCGCTTAGCGCACAACAACAGGAAGCATTAATTGCAAAATCGCGCCTTTTCCACTTGCAAACTGGTTTCGAGCAGGGTCTTACATTGGGCCGCGAACAGCAATCAATTACACAGACACAACAACAGCAACAGCAGCAACCTCCTTTGCCTGCACACAACAACAATAATAATGCTCAACGCAAGCATTTCGAATTGGATATGACGCACATAAACGCATTAACACCACCCCAGAAAGCGCCACCTGCTCCACCTGTGGGTGGTGTTGGTGCAGCACAAACCCATCAACAGCAGCAATTTCAGTTACAGCCACAGCTGCAGCAGAACTCCGTACAGCCCCCCATGAAGACGAAGAGCGGCAATGCATCGCGAAAGAACCGACAGCCACCAGCGCCTTTCGAGCTCAACTTACCGACAACCAATTTGGGCAATTTAACACTTGAACAACAACAGCAGTTTGAGCAAATGCAACAACAAGAACAGCAGCAACAACCAGACGAGGTACGCTCCCAACCGCTGGGTGACGACGGTAGTGGCTCACTTGTAGCAAATGCAGGAGAAGCAGACGTACAACAACAAAATCGTTGTTTCATGCGTCGTTGTTTTTTCAAGCCCGAATTCCAAAAGGTGAGTATCAAGTCCTGCAAAGTTATATAATTGCACATTTTTTCCAAGGAAATCTTTTTTTAATCATTCAATATCGTTTTATATTTAAAGATTGGCAATGAGAATAAGTCGGGCGGTGCAGTGAGCGATTTATCACCAGTTAGCTATATGGATTTGAGTGGAGTCGAGGGCGTTGAAACAATGGCCGCCAATGCCGTTTCAGGTAAGTTCACGTAGATGAAAGTTTTAGCACAAATTTAAAGAGATATTCCCATGGTAATTGCTCAGGTGTCACTACTTTGGGCGATAATGAGATGACTTCGATTTTCCTTACCGGCAACACAGCCAGCGGGGGCCAATCCCAACAAATGCTAAACATGCCATCGGATAATATGATGATTGAGTTATTAGATGCGAGTGCTGTCGCCGATGCAGCTGCGGAGTTGCGTCAACAGCAGCAGGATCAAACTAAATCTATGTTAAACACACAGCAATACAGTAATAGTGGTGTAGCAGCGGCCGCTTTGGAGGCAATGTCTGCAGTAAATAATCTACAAAACAATCGTAACTTCAACAATAAAGGCAATAACAATAATTTTAACCAAAAGAGTACTCAAATTACAACACCATCAGAAGTGTCGCAGAGCACAGCCATTAGCGATCGACCAAAAGCCAAACCGGTATCGAAGAAGGACAACAAAAACTTCCGTAAAACAGTTTTTCCACAATCGCCTGTACTGCAACATAATCAAATGGTATCCATTTACAATAAATTGGTAAGGATGCTGAATTAAAGCTGACAATATTTTTATTGTTTGTGTAATAAAAATATTTTCTGTTTCATTTAATTTACAGCCATTATTGCTCACAAACGAAATCAAGCCGAGCCTGCAGACGAAGCAGGTTATCATGACGCAAATGGCGTTTGCTGCGCAACAACAGCAGCAACAACTCTCAAGCAGCTTAGATATGAGTGGCAGCGGAGACACCTCGATTGCACTTAACAACTCTCCGGCATCGCCTTTGGCATCACCTTCTAATGCAGCTGGAACGTTTTTGCAACAACACATACCATCAATAGGCGACGATAATCACCACCAACAACAACAACAGCAGCAGCAAGAGGTAACTTCCACCATTTTGCAGGCTTTTCAAGCAATGCAATCGCGTAATGTTGGTGACGAAGCAGCAGCAGCGGCGCTAGCAACCGTATGTGGAATGAGTGCCGCCGAGCAGCAAGAGTATTTGAAGGAGCGCTACCAGTTGTACGATATGCCGCGCTTCTTCGACGATCAACCCAAGTCACCAACGGAAACTCCGCCACCACCATTGCCAGACAAACAACAGCAGCAAGAAATCTACAGTGAAGATGGCATCGCAGTGCTGGACGAGGAAGTGGAACTGGATGGCGAACCAGACGCCGAAGGAGTAACAGAAATGAAGAATCTAGCTACGTTGGTCACTGCTGCAGCAGCTGCCGCACCCAACATGTTACTCGAACATGTTTCAATGAGTATTGAGGCGCCTAATGGCGACGAAAATGCATTGCAACTCGATGAATATGGAGAAGTGGAGGAAGATGATGATGCAAACATTGAGGCTGATCAGTCCGCTGTGACGCTTGATATGCTGGAGGGTCACGGTTATGAAGAAGGAGAAGCCGATGGCGAGTGTGAAGGTGAACGAGATGGCGAGGGCGATGGTGAGGGTGATGACATTGAAGAGGTGCTCGAGGATGATGATGAAGAAGATGGCGAAGACGAAGAATTAGACGGTGATGTGGAGGGAAATTGTGAAGATGATATCGATGTGAGCGCCATGGTACAGGATGATGAGGCCATCGCAATGAGACAGCATATAATTGGCTGTGCAGAAGATGACGAAGACGATGACGAAGATGATGAAGACGACGAGGACGACGATGACATGGCATTAAGCAATGCGAAACGCGCAAAGAGTGCACATCGTCAACCACAGGCTCTTGAGAATTTGATACTATCGAATGTCGCTTACAAAACTGATGAATTGTCGCAGGCTTTATGTGATTTCCGCCAAGACTTTCCAACCGATTTGGTGCATGTTTTTCCGCCTATTGCAAATTTCAAAACAGCATCGGGAAGCGCCGCATTCAGCACTTTGCAGCAATGTACTGCAGCTGCTGCCGCCGCTGCGGCAGATGTGGCAAATGCCGCAGCCGCAGCAGCAGATATTGCCAATGCCGTCAAGGTGGTGAGTCATGGTGAGTACCGAAACTCTTAATATTAATAAATGCATATACATATGTATATATAGTACATGCACACCACGGTTGATTTTGGTAATACCTACCCAAATTGTTCAAAAATTATTTAATGGGAAAACCATGCAAAATCCTTTATTTTTTTATAAAAGTTTTGCTTTGTATCGGACAAACCTTATACAGTTATGCAAACAAGTGACCACTGCAAAAGCAAACACCAAAAAAAAAATATATTAAAAAGAAACGCGTTTTTTTGCAGCTCGAAACTTGCACATCGATGCAATCATAAAACTTTATACCCAAAAATGCTCAATAATCAGTTTAAAAAATTTAAAATTTTAAGAAAAATTTGCTGCATTTTCCTAAATTTTGAATAATGTTTGAATCTTTGACAATATTTTATAGAAAAATAACAAAAAAAAATTAACCTGAAAAGCCTTGTGAATATTTAAGAAACAAACACGTATGTCTTGTTCGAGTCACTGTTTCGAGTCCAAATTTCAATCTATGTTCAAAAATTCGACAAATATTCCTCAAAATTTCTAACTTTTTATTCAGAATTTTAGTCATGCATTTTTATTTTATAGCCCATTAATGTAATATTAAAGTCGACTTTTCAAACTTTGTGCAAAAATTATAAAAAGTCAACAAATATTCACCAAAACCGGAAACCAATTCCCATCGTGCGGTATATTGGTGCTATTTTGAATAAATGTGAAGCTACCCCGAATGCGACTTAGGAGTGCGCGTTGAAAGGTGAAAGATATTCATTGTCGTATGTACGTTCTGTGAGTATTCTATTTATTGTTTTGGTTTCTCTGGGCTCTAGAGTTTTTTTATAGAACCAGGACTTTTTGTTTTTTGGTTTTATAGTGAAAATTTGGGCAATAAGATTGGGTTTCATGGCCGAGAAAACGAGGAACTCATCGTACCATAAGGAGTTTTTAGCATTTTAACTAAGCTTTCCTCCGCATTTCCTTTTAACCTTTGGAGAAAATTGCAAAATTACTCACCCAGAAATTTATACTTTTCAGCAGTGGTTTAAAAGATCTAATTTATATATATTGTTAAACGATTAAGCGACAACCAAAAAGCTAGTCATCAAGGGTATATTAATCTTCAGCGTAGCTGTACTTCAAGCATTCCAAATAACTGTGTGTTGAATATGCACTGCGTATTGTGCGCCAATAAAACTATATAAAAGCACGTATCACTGCGCCAGTTACGGTACGTTTTTCGATTATATTGGTTTGAGAGCCTCTTGGATGTTGTTATTGAAATGTTAAAATATTAGTTATTATTTGCTCCATATGCAAGTGATCGGTATTTTCATCGCACACGCGCCATCATGTTCTGCACGACCGCATCATCGACTTTACGCGATGCGCACAACTGCTTTGTTTAGCACTCGTCAATATTTTTGACTGTTTCACCTGTTTTCTTCAAGATTCCGTTGACAATTTACCAATATTCCCCAATAGGACGTAGCTTTGGGCTATTGGGTGGATTGCAGTCGTGAGGTACAAAATTGATGCTATTTGCATTATACCACGGCAATGTGTTCTTGGCATAGTGGCAGCTTGCCATGTCCGCCTAGAACGGTGGCCTACTACCTTATCTGTTGATAAATGACAGAAGACGCCTTTTGAGGCACTCATCCCGATAAACTTGATCATTGATTTGATGCCTAGAGTGAACCTCCTCTCACAACTCTAATATAAAGAATAAGGGCATACCAACAACCTCATACATCTTATCTTTAAGATTTCGCCCCCCCAAAACTTGCGTTCACACTATAAAGAGCACATATAACTAGTTAAAAAAAAACTGCAATAAGTTTCATTTAATTTACTTTTGCTTATGCTTACGCTACTGAGACAAAACAACATTCGCAGTCAAAGCACAAGCACAAATCATTTGCTGACAAAATGCGCAGTACTTTTGGCAGTCGTTTGTTTTGAAAATTTTGATTTTGATTTTGGTCAGCGGCACAAGTCAAGGTTAAAGCAACAGCTGTGCTTTTGCAAGTTGTCGCCAGTCGCAGTCGAAAAATTAGAATTTAGTTCTAATCCAATACTTTTCGTGTAAAATCCTGTAAAAATGTCAAACAGCAAAATTACTCTCCGATCATGATTCAATAGGAGCGTTCCTTATCTCCCAGAAATAGTCAGAAAAAGTCCGAAGTAATCAGATTTAGTCCAAAAAGCGTTCCTTAACTCGGAAATGACAGCAAAAATGAGAGAGCAACACTCAGTGAGAATCATGGTAAAAATATAGTAAGGTAGAACGCTGAGAGTCACTTTTAAAATTCTTGACATTTCCAAACAATTTAATTTTTAAATTTCCTCACAAACTCACACACATTTTCATTTTCAATCTCAAGCAACAACAATTTCGAACAATTTCAATTTTTTATTTTCACTTTTATATGATTTTAAAATGTTGGCAAACTTCAAAAAAAAAAAATCATGGCCGACAAATTGAGAGAACGGTTCTACCTTGCTATGTTTTTATCATGGTGAGAATGACTCACATCAGTCCGAAGTAGTCAGATTTACCGCCCTATTCCCACACCACTGACAAAACTCAGCGGCTGACTATTGCCTTTACTACTGCGCCTAATACTATGCCGCAAATTTATTTTAAACTGTCGTATGACAATTGTCAGTTTTATTGTTATGACCTACTGAGTAAGTGACAACGGCGAAACAATGTTTATATTGTGTTTTAGGCGCAGTAATTGTGACAATAGTCATATGATGAATTTTGTCAGTGTTGTGGGAATAGGGCGGTTAGTCAGAAGAATTTTTTCTGCCAAAATCCTGAAAAGTGTCAAACTCAACTGAATTTAAATTAACGGAAATTAAAGAATACGTAAAAAGTGAGAATAATCTAAAAAGTAAAAAAAGTGGATTGAAATTGGAAGGAGGCAAAAAATAATTGATATAGTAAGTGTTTGTTGCGCTTGTGCTTGTGTGAATGTGTTTTGTACACACAGTATCGGTCATATCTATAGCACACCATTTCAAAGTGATATTGTGTGCCACTTATGTTTATTTATTTATTTTTAAGAATTTTCAATTAAAATACAGTTCTTTCTCTAATAAAACCCATATATATACAAAAAGTGCAACAAATTATCACCCAAATTTAAAACTTTTTTCTCCGAAGTGTTACAAATTTTTTGAATACACAGTTTTATAGCCCAATCAATTTTAGCCTGATAATATGCAAGTTTCAAGTGGCTAAAAGTTACCGTTGATTTTTTAGAATTTTTTTCATCAAAGATGTTGGGGATTTCTTCCATATACAAATAAATTAATTGAGTTTATTCATTATATGGAAGCCAATGCGACAAAAAAAATTCTAAAAAATCAACGGTAATTCGTAGCCACTTGAAATTTGCACATTATCAGACTAAAATTGAAGGGGCTAAAAAACTGTGTACTCGAAAAAATTCTAAAACTTCCGAGAAAAAAGTTTGAAATTTAGGAGAAAATTTCTTGCGCTTTTTTGTAATTTTCTACTAATTGTTAAACTTGGGTATATATGGGGCTTGTCTGAGAATGAACTATATTTTAATTGAAAATTCTTAAAAACAAATAGATAATTAATAGTGGCAAATAATTTCAATTTGAAATGACGTGCTATAGATATGACCGATACTGTACATTTCTATTCTTATTTGACGTTAGCTTTGTTGTTGCCATTCTTTGGACTAAAAATTTGGTTTTTTGCGTTCCTTTACTTTTCCTGTTATTCTCTTTTAGAGAGCGCATTTTGCTTACGCTCTGGCATTTTGACACTTTTCAGATTTTAGTCCAAAAAAATAAGGAATGAACCCAAGGTGTATTAAACAAGGTGTGATTGACAACTTAGTTAGGCTCTCTTTTAAGGTAATATTATGCCAAAAAATATAGACAATCGATTCAAAATTCATACAAAATTTTTTCAATTTGACTTTATAGGATGGTTATTCTGAGAGCAATGTCAAATTCAATCACACTTTGTTAAATACATTTTGAATGAACCTAATAATACAAGGTTCGATAAACTGACAGTTGTCTCTCTCGCACCGCTCCCTTAGCAGTGGCACCGTGTTGCTTCTTTGCAAATTTACTTGAAAAAAGGGTAGCTTTGCTGTGAAATAGAAGTATACGCTTTTGTGCAATATGTTTACATATTTGTATATGCATATGAAGCACATTTAACTGATGAAACCATAAATTGTTTTTAAATTGGATGTTTACCTAAATCTCATAGTAGTTTTATTTTAATTTTGAGTCCTTTTGCAGTTTTTATACAGCTAATAATAATAAATTACGTAATTCGTGTAGATATATTAATATTTTGTTCAAAATTTTGTTTAAAATGCCAGATTTCCTGCAAATACATTAGAATTTACAAAAGGAATTTCATTACTAATTGCCTACTTTGCGCACTTATCTACTACTATTTTCGCAACAAGGGATTGCTTTATTTTCTTTTTTACGGTCCTCCGTAAATGCAATCTTTTGTAAGGGAGTGTCAAACCGCGGCTGTCAATAATTATCTAACCTTGTATTATTGAATCATGCTCTCCGATATGGGAGTAAAAAGTGAGTAAAAACAAAAAGTACGGGAACAAACAAAAAATCCAAAACGTCAACGGGTAAAATCTTGCAACTTCTTTCTCTACACAACTCTCCAAAAATCGCTCCCATTTACTGGATTTTGGAGTACGGTATCATTTTTCCTGTAACTTCCTGTAAGTTCGTGTAAAAACCTGTAAGTTCATGGAGTACTGGAACAGAGCTATTCTTAGCTTCTCTTACAAAAGCAAAGCGATTGCTTTTACTTCGGATTGTGCCGCTGACCAAAATCAAAATGAAAATTTTCAAACCAACGACTGCCAAAAGCACTGCACATTTTAGTTGCAAGATTATACAGGAATTGACCAGAAAGGGCCCCCGTATTCGGTTCTCTGGCTTCTTTTGCTTTTTGACAGTTTTACAGGTTTTAAGCCAGAAAAGATGGGGTACGCAACTTTTGTCTACAATCGATTTCTGCTTGTGCTTGTTCTGCGACTGTTGTTTTGTCTCATAAGCGTATTATTATTATTAAGCGTAAGAACCAGCAATAAGACAATAGTTGCGTTCCTTATCTACCAGAATAATCAGACGACTCTATTTATCAGTGATAGAGTTTACAGAAAAATATATGAAAAAGTTTACTTACTGAAGGAGTGAAGGAATTCTGCGTTTGGCTAACTTTAATCCTAAAAAAAAAAATCTTCCCGAACAAACATTTTTACTGGATGGATATACTACCGGAATTCGCAATAAAAACTGCAAAAATATTTTTGCCCAGCTTTTCGGCACAAATATCAGTCTGTGCAGCCCTTGAAAGCGAAACATCTAAAACAGTAGTTTTGCTAAACCCCGAATATCGCGAGTAATAGGATAATCACTGGCATATTTGGCTTTAAAATAATCTACATAGAAAGGGTAGAAATTCCGAAGAGAGCCCTGGGGAACATTAAATCGAATCCTCTCCAACAAGTATGATGTTAGATGTCATCGAGAAAGTCATTTAAAAGCATTTAGATACGCTTTTCAGTAACTGTTTGATGGTCAATGGCATCCTCTGGAGTCTTGATCATTGAGAATATCTTTAAGTCAACAACATAAAGCAAAAATTTGCAAATGATAAGCAACTATTAATATCATTAATATATAGTATAAATAAAAGCGGGCCCATATTTCTTCTGGAACTCCAGAAGAGACGGCAAAGGAGCAAGAATATGTGCCTATTAGACCAATATGAGTTTAACCATTCCAGGAAGACGGATTTTTTAATTAGGGAACCTATAAGAAATTTTAATAGAAATTTTGAAAAAGTCACAAGTTTGCATTGACTGCGTGTTCAAAATATTTTTAAATAGTCCACAGCTAGATATATGTGGGTCTATAATTACGCTCAACATTTCTGTTGCCACTTTTCTTAAAGACAGGTGTTATAGAGGTGAGCTTCCAGTCGCAATAAACGATTGCGATTTATGGAATACTAGTCTTCTTCTTCTTATTTGGTAATACAAACGTTTGTTGGGTTGGGCCGAGACCAAAAGGCTTCGTTAGTTGCCTCTCTGCTTTGTTGATTTGCGGACAGGTGTGGACAGGTCCTTTTGCAGTTGGTCCTTCTATTGTATTCGTGGGCGCGCCCTTGCTTTCGTTGTCCAACCTTGGGTACCGAGGACCTTTTCACCGTAGCGTCGCACAGTCTGGAAATTGAACTTTTTTCGTGACAAATTCTAATATCTCGAGAATGAGAACCGCTAAAGTCAGTCATTACTTCAAAGTTATAACTGCCAACAGTGACGTGTTTCCAAAATCTGGGCATTATTTATGTGTTGCCAGAAGGTACTTTGTCTTATCCTCGTTCACCGTTAGACAAAACTCATTAGCTGCTTTGTTTACGCGGGAAAATGTTGGCATCTGTCCGACCGGAATATGCATATCCGAGGCAGATGACATTCACACGAACCTAATCCTTCTCACTCGCTTAATATGACAGTACGAATCGGATTAGATCCGTTCAAATGGCATCCGGTCGAATGCCGTAATGGGCATTAATGTTATCGGTAACGGCATGGAGAAAGTAGTGTCAAATGATGTTGACAAATTTTATCATCAAAATATTACATCAGATCTATTCTGGATTAAGTCAATCTGGCCGGCGTTGAGCCGCACATAGATCGGTAGGCCCTTAGCGTCGCCAGTTGGAGCTCGTTTTTACGCTTTAAAGTAGACCTCACAAAAAATGTCAAAGCTTTTTGTGAATTTAAGTAGAATTTTCAGCTGTACTTTTGAGATGTCCTCTAACTTCTCGAACTGATAGGCTTCCAAGCATTTTAGTCGTGTTTTTGACAGTGCAGGACATCGGCAGGAGAAGATGCTCCAAAGTTTCCCTGGTCTCCCGCTCACAACCCCTCGATTACCGATCGACTACTTGCCGTATATTTAAGCGATTACTTTTACAAGGCAATGTCTAGGCCGTAGTCAGCATCGGCTCTCTCTGCACTACCAGGAGTTACTAAAATAGTTACTTGCGTGATTTATGGACGCCCCTTTAGTAGTTCGTCGCAATTCTGATTCCGACTGATTCGGCTCTGCACTATTGTGCGCACTATCACGGGTTAATAAAGTAGCTACTTCCCTGGAAGTCGGTGCAGTAGCGATCCAAAAGTGGCGATTGACACCAGCAGTACTGCAAACCTACCAGCATATACATATCTAAACAAAATTAATTTGCTCCTTAGCTTCTTAAAGAAAAATTTTCATTATGTATTTTGTTTTTGTTATTTTCTGGCCTAGTGACGATTTATTTTGAAATATTTTAATTTTCCACAAAAATTTCCAATAATAACGGTTTCAAGCTCAATAAAAAAAAATGTTCAGTTAATAAACTTACTTAAGTTATAATTTTTTGCCACTGAAAACAACAGTGTTAGATAAATTTTCATCCTAATTAATTTACTTGGCAATTTTCTTAAATTTTCTTTTGGATGCAAAAGGTTTCGTAGAGCATGTATGTACATAGATCCATTTCTGTATCTAAAAGAAACACGTCTACGTTTTTTTTGGCGGTCAGGGCTCAATATACATATGGGCAATTATCACAAATTCGAATTTTTTTGTGATTTTTTTTGTTTTAATTGTGCGCACATGTCTGAAATTTCTAGTATCTTAGCTGCTAGAATACGAAATCCAACGTGGTGCAACGTTTTTCCGCGTTTTTTCTTTGGAAGTGAAAAGTGGGGGTAATTTTAGTCCGATTTTCAAAATATTCAATATTTAGCTTTTTTATGCCAAGGTCTATAATTGCACTGAGTTTGGCACAAATTGATAAATCCTTTACCGAGATACACATACAGTGAAGCAAATAAAAACTGGGACGCGACATTTAAGTAAGTTTTGGCAATTTTTCTTTAATTTATTTAATGTTTATTATTTTTTTATGAGAGCATAGCTGATTACTTTACCAACACGATATAAATCCAAATATCAGACTTTGCAAAAAAAATATGAAAATTTGACATCAATTATCTTACCGTTTTGTTGGCAATTTTTTTTTTTTATTATTTTTTTATTTTTTTAATTTTTATTTTTTTTTTTTTATTTTTTTATTTTTATGTTTTTTGTTGACGGTGCTCCGCATTTTTTTCATATAAAAAAAAATAATCCCAACATAAATTGCCAAAAATTGTAAAAGAGCGCACTGAATGCGAAAAAGGTTTAAAAATTAGCGGAAACTTTGTTTACCGGTTAAACATTTTTGTTACCAGCATAGACTCGGCTTGCTAGTGAAATACAATTTTTATTTTATGTGAAATATACTTACGCACTGCACATGAAATTTTAAGCATAAACAGACGGCAGCGTTGATCCGGATCAACTCGGGAATTAACTGCAATTGATCCAGATTAAGTCCGAGTTAATTCGGATCATCGTTGCCGTATGTTAAAGCTTTTACTTTACGTTATTCGAACTCATTAGGTATTGAACTCAACCAAATTTATATAGAATACAAATTTATTTAATTATTTATTTATTTCAAAATCAATACTGATACACACAAATATACTTAACCAATGCAATCTTTTCTGTGTTTCTGTAGATGTTGATGGATCAACCGGTGTCATTAGCGCTGCAGGCATGTATCCAGCGCTGGAATCGTTCGACAATTTTGCTGCGGATATACCAGGAGATATGGATGATATATTGCAGTTATTCCAAAATGATCCATCATTGCAGGTAAAACCATTGGTGATTCAGTGGAAATGTATAATGTTTGCGTTACTTTTGCGCGGCATAATTATATTAAAATTTTTGGGGTACGCGAAGTTTAAAATAAGAAAAGTTTTTGTTGGTGTCAACTTCATGGATTACTTGTTAAATTATAAATGAAATTCCACTGAAATGAAGAAAATATGTACATACGTACATATCAGGGTCATTGAGACCTGGAAGAGACATTTTAGGTGCTCATATAAAACCCAAACGTTCGTATTCATGCGTGGTAGGGAATTATTTCAGCTCATCACAATTTTATTACAGTGTGTTAAAATTGCCACTTTTTGGGCCACCAACTAAATTATATTACATGCGATTGCGTGTAAAAAGTGGTGTAATTATACTCTGCATAGAGCGCATAATCTACCAGAATCAGCATTGCCTACTGTTCAATGTAATCAGTTAGTCTGTTCCAGTACTCCAGGATTTTGTTAGGAAGATATAACCGAAGAAAGCGTATTAATAGCCTAATAAAGTTGGCAACAATTAACTTTGTAATCGACTTTATTTCGACTATAATAATGTATGTATCCGAACGACCTCTCAGTAAATCTGATGGGTACTGGAACAGACCATGATCAAAAAACATTACTAGGTAAATTCATTCTCTCAATTCGTCGGCCATAATTTTTTTTCTGACATTTGCAAGCATTTTAAAATCATATAAAATTTAAAACAAAAAAATAAAATTGTACACAATTGTTGTTGTTTGAGATTGAAAATGAGAATGTGTGTGTGTGAGTTTGAGTTGTTAATTTTTAAATTATATGGCTGGCACGCGTCTCAATGGTTTTACCTTGTTATGTTTTTATCATGGAGCAGACTATGGGTAAATACTCACAAGAAATGAGAGCGGCATCTCTCTTTTTGAAAATGTCACTTAGCGAAAAATCAAAATTCACAAGACTTTGCTGTCAAGCGCCGGATTTTTTTACTGTCATGATAGTCCCGTTATTCGAATAACTGACTAAGAATCTAAATATCCAGATAACACAATTAACTGATATTAACCCGATATCCGGATTTTTGAATATAAGAAATAGTAATCAAATATGTAACTAGAGCTCGGATATTTAGGCAAGTGCATATTTTTGCTTAGCATCACAGAAAGTCCGGAGCTCGTTGTAGAAGGAAGTGAGTTAGTTTGGTCCCATTATGTTTTGCATATTTTCATATATTTTGCATATTTGCACATTTTTCTTGAATATTTGCGTATATTTTTTGCACATTTTTTGTACAAATTTTGCATATTTCCTATAAATAAAATATTATAAGCACGCCGCCACCCTGATGGCAGCCCTGGTTAACTCCGCACGCGACATATTGACCCCCTTCTGCCGGAATCGTGATGATCCACTGCGCCAGCATAGAACGAATCCAATTTACCAGTACAGAATGTACTCCATGCCGTAGAGTAGAATCGCACATGCTATCGAAGGTGGCATTGTCAAAAGAGCACCCTCAGGGCAAGTTTTTTAGTGCACGGCCGTGGTTTAAATTAAGTTTAAACGCCCGATCTGTCTGGTTTAAACTAAGATCAGCCAATCAAATGTCAGACAGTTGTTCAATTTAAACTCAGTTTACTTAATCTAAGTTTAAACTGTCTACAAATATGACCAAATCGAATTCTGGCAACTAGATTTTGCAAATCCGTCTCACAGGAATGCCGCGGCTGCTAGGCATGTTGACCAGACATTTCAGCATGAAGTATGTCATGCTAGTCGGTCTTTAGCTTCTGGGGCTAGTATAATCATCCTTAACAACCTTAGGGTTATTAGTACGAAGGCGACATCAACCAGATTCCATGGTTGTGGTAGGCAAGTGCAAGAGATGCTGTGAAAATCTTTTTCAAGGCCCCCAAATAAAACTCAACACCTTCTTTAAGTACAATAGCTAGGATGCATATCTTAGGGCACCTTCACTAGCCATAGTTCTGGCAACAAACCAGATGTACCTTGACACTGTGGTTCTGGCATACGCTCCCCCACCAGTCGAGGAAGAGGAAGGCGTAACCATCGCCTGATTCCCAGGAAAGTGAGTCTCCAGAAGAAAAGAGATTGTCTCAATCGTAGTCGCCGTTAAAGAGCCATCAGGCCTCTTGAGTGAACGCAGCTTTGTGTTTTGGTCCTTCTTCAGAACTTTTACCAGCCAAGCCGTTTGACTCAAGGTTTCAATCCCACTGCAGTATCCTTTAAAAGAGTCCCTCTTCGCAGAGCGAATTATACTACGTTCCCACTGCACGCAATTTGCTCTCTATCATTCGTAATTGGCACTGTAAACAGTGAAACCTGTTTGCGCGGTATTCTATGCTCCACAGCCTTACGCCAATCCCAGCTAGCTTGGGGGGTGGCATTTCACCACAATGGTTCCACCCCCCTCTCTTATGAACGCGCATTGCCTACAGTTCCGGAGGCAATGACGGCCCGGATGAGATGGCAGGTTTAATTTCCACAGTAGTCATTTGAAGAGTGTAAGCCGCTCTTCCCATTACGGCAAGAAGCGGAGGGACTTTTACGGGCTCACAATAAGGTGGCCTGGCCTACCTGACCTCTAAACGTAGTTGAAAGGCTTTGATGCTTCGAGGGCATAACTAGGGCAGTTCTGCCTCGACCGACCCTTGCATCAGAGGTCTGTCTGGCTGATCGGAATTGGGCAATGCTACACCAGTGCCCGCCACACTATGACCCGAAGAGGCATTGGGCAGCCATTGGTGGATGTCACCGCAGTTATCCTTCTCTTGCAACGTTCGCCAGCAGATTTTGATGGCGGTACATCCACTAAGGTCTCACTGGCTTCTGGAGTAACCTCCATAGACCTGGACCGCTTACTGAACGCAGCTACAGGAGGAGTTCGGTCAGCCATAAAAGAGGGTTTTCCCCTTTTGGTTTGTTAAAGAGGATCAACTCCGTCATTGGAGGGTCGTTGGCAGCGAGCTGCTCTTCGACCGACATCCCCTGCAAGAGATTGGTCCTCTTCCGACTCTGAGAAAGAGAGGATTGGCATTACCTCGCCACTCTTCTGGCGTGGTCTATGACGCTAGGGACTTTGGCAATGGTTGGGGCACTGACTTGGTGAGCTGGAACGAAATACTTTGGAGTTTGATCATATACATTCGTTCAATAACAAGGGTAGTGGAGAGGTTGTTGTCAACTAGACTCATAGAAATCTTTCTGAGCGGATAAGTGGAAATTAGGGCTGGGACTATCGGTGTATTCCAATATCCGTTCGGATATTCATGTATGTATACGGATGAAATCTGGATATCCGGTTAATATCCGTTATATTTTGTTATCCGGTCAATAACCGTTAATTCTGTTATTTTTTGTGATGTTTTTAATCAGATATTCGAATATCCGAATTTTCAAAAGATACCGATCGAATTGGCATTATTCCTAATAGAATAAATTTAAATGGCTTGAAACGCGCTCAAAATTCATCAATATACATATATTTTTTGCTTTTGGAAAAGAATATTAAGTTTTTTACGTTCGCGCGTTGTTGTTGCTGTTGTTGTTATGTAGTTTTTTTTGTCATTATTATTATCTAGGAGCTGCATAATTGTGCCGAACTGGGCGACCTGAATTCGATTTGCAAGAACCGCTTTAGCAGCAACTGGGTGCCGACGCCGAAGTGGACCAGCCAGGATCACTTGATGGCGACGCATCAGCAAGCGCTGCTCTCGGTCGAAGACCAACAGCAGCAGCAACAACGCCAGGCAACTAATCAAATGCTCCTCGAATATCAACATGAGCTGCAAATGGGGGAACAAATGCAGGTATGCCCCAACTAACCAATTTTGAACTGCCGCACGCACACACACACACACACACAGACAGACAGTACTGGCATGAATAACTCACAATGTTTTCAAAAAGCTTAAGATTACTTGAATTTGGCTTAACCTAACATTTGATATAGACTTACCACTTTTGAAATCACACTGCAACCAAATGCAAGCAAAAATGTATCAATTGAATAACACGATTTTGTATTTACCTAAATTTGCTGCAGCACCAACACCACCAGACATTTTCGTTTTTGCCACTTCCGTCAGATGATGCAGCCGCAGCCGCTGCTGCGGCGCAACATCAACAAATGCAACAGCCACTGCCACATCAAGGTGATTTCCTACTACAGCAGCATCAACAAATGCAACAACACCAACAACTTATACTCCAAGAGGATGAGGAGGAGGTGAAGCACCGTCAGTTGCACATGATTCAGCAATTGCAGCAGGACCGACAATCAAGTGAGCGCTTGCGGAAAGCATTGGCTGCCTGCGCCGCCCAGCAACACCAACAGCCACAACAAAAGCACCAGCAACAGCAACAACAGCAGCAGCAGCAGCAGCAGCAACACCAGCAACAAGCAGCAGCCGCCGCTGCCAATTATGTCTTCAATGTGGAGAGTGGTGACAAATCGGCACAGTCGCTGCAGCTGCTATTCCAGCTACCACCGTCGGTACAACATCAGCACCAACAACAGCAACAACAAGATGTGCACGATGCTGCACAGCAACTACAACACCTGCAGCTGCAAGAGTTGCCGGAGAATCAGAAGCAACAGCTATTGCATGATTTCTCGCAGCAGGCTGAGAGTCTAATGCAGCAACAACAACAACAACAACAGCAGCAGCAGCAAGCTACAACGCTCGATCAGGTGGCGCAAAGTAATCTTTTGTTGCAGCAGCATGCGTTGCATCAGCAGGTACTCAAACAGAAGCACCATCTGCAACAGCAGCAATTGCTTTTGCAACAGCAGCAACAGCAGCTGCAGCAGCAACAGCAACAGCAACAACAACAGGTAAGAGTTGACATGCAACACTTTTTGTATTCGCATGACTTACTGGACTCGGCCAAAATCGCTAAGAGTGGAAGCACGTGGAAGCTTAAAAATTCCAGCACAAACTTGAGTTCATTAAATTACAATAAAAAAAAATAAATATATAACATTTCTTGCTCTTTCTCAAAACGATACTCAATACGAAATCTATTCCATACAGGTTCAAGTTGCCACCCAAACGCAACCACCGGTCTCTGCTCCCTATAGCAGCGCGGCGACAGTTGCTGCACGCGGCTCCACACAATTCCATGCGACCATCTCACCCCTAGCGTCAGATGTTGGACTTGGTGTGTGCGCACTTTCAACGCAACAACAACAAATGGCAGCCGCTGCTGCCGCTGCAGCACAACAACTACCAGCACCGCCTATGATAACATCATCGAAAATATCTGGTGGCATTGCAAAGAAAGCCATCGATAAGCAGTCGCGTAAGGAGCGTAATCGTTATGCAGCGCTGCGTCAAACGCCAGCAGGCAGTCAAGGTAGGTGTAGAAGCGATAAGACAATACTTGTTTAAGACAAATATCGATAAGATTCAATTGGGGAAAGAATCTTTACGGCATTAATAGTTCACAACCCCGGATGAACATTTTTAAAGTACTTTCTAACATAATAACTATTGGAATACTAAACATAGGAAAGTGTCCTTAAAATTGCAATAAAAATTTGCCTTTGTCTTTATTTTAAGTTATTTTACTTTACTACTCTTTTTTTGCGATTGAGAAATGCCGATTTGCCTATTTTTGAAATTCTTTCTCCGTTAGCTAACACCACAAATCAGCAACAATACCAACAAACTGTTGCTACTACCACACTCGACAAGACTATCGATGTCGACTCGGAGACAGATTCAAATCACGACACCGCGCTTACATTGGCTTGTGCCGGTGGCCACGAGGAACTCGTTCAACTCTTACTCAATCGCAATGCAAACATTGAGCATCGAGACAAAAAAGGCTTTACACCCTTAATACTGGCCGCAACGGCTGGCCATGAGAAGGTCGTGGAGATACTGCTAAAACATGGCGCCGAACTGGAGGCACAATCAGAACGAACCAAGGATACGCCACTTTCGTTGGCTTGCTCTGGCGGTCGTTACGAAGTGGTGGAGCTTTTGCTAAAACACAACGCCAACAAAGAGCATCGGAACGTTTCCGACTATACGCCACTCAGTTTGGCAGCCAGTGGTGGTTATGTGAATATTATAAAATTACTATTGAACCATGGCGCAGAAATTAACTCACGCACCGGTAGCAAATTGGGTATTTCGCCCTTAATGTTGGCCGCCATGAATGGGCATACAGCCGCCGTTAAGTTGCTACTCGACCAGGGTTCCGATATAAATGCGCAAATCGAAACGAACCGCAATACCGCATTAACGCTCGCATGTTTCCAAGGTAGACACGAAGTGGTGAGTTTGTTGTTGGACCGCAAGGCAAATGTTGAACACCGCGCTAAAACGGGCCTCACACCACTCATGGAGGCAGCCTCCGGTGGATACATTGACGTAGGACGTGTGCTGTTGGACAAGGGCGCCGATGTGAACGCGGCTCCAGTACCGACATCACGCGATACAGCACTTACTATTGCAGCTGATAAGGGTCATCTAAAGTTTGTGGAGTTGCTGCTGTCACGTGGAGCGGCCGTCGAAGTAAAGAATAAAAAGGGCAATTCACCACTCTGGCTAGCGGCACATGGTGGCCACTTGAGTGTTGTTGAGATATTGTATAACCATCATGCAGACATTGATTCGCAAGATAATCGTCGTGTGTCGTGTCTTATGGCTGCTTTCCGCAAGGGCCACACCAAAGTGGTTAAATGGATGGTGCAGTATGTGACACAATTCCCTTCCGATCAGGAGATGAGTCGCTTCATTAGCACCATCAGCGATAAGGAACTGTCGGAGAAATGTTTTGATTGTATGAAGTTCATACGCGCCGCTAAGGAGGCACAGGCCGTGAAAGCCAACCAAAACGCTTCCATACTACTGAAAGAGCTTGATAATGAGCGAACGCGCGAAGAGAGTCGCAGAGCGGCTGCCGCGCGTCGTCGTGAGCGCAAGAAGAAGAAGAAGCTGGAAAAGAAGGAAGAAAAGCGCCGACAAATGGAGGGAGGCAACGGCAGTCAAATGTCGGGATCAAACGCCGACGCCGACGAAAAGGACTCTGATCAAGATGATGACAGTGATCATGAAGAGAATGCGCTTGAGGATGAGGACGATACTCCAAACGCGCAGAACTACCGCGAAGAAGGTGACTCCGGTATAGACCAAGGCTCTTGTTCGAGCACAGAAATAAAGACGGTTATTGTGGGCAGCAGTGCTGCCAGCGTCAATAGCAGTGCCCAACAACGTGAAGCCGATAGAAATGGAAAGACAAGCAAGAATAAGAAAAAGCAAAAGAGTGCATCACAACAGCTACAACAACGTAATACCAGCAATGATAGCAACAGCGCACAGCAGGCTAATGCAGCAGTAGCAGCAGCGACTGTCGTGGTCGAAGAGCTCCCAGCGCAGCCAAGTAGAAGCGCGGCCAAGCAGCCCGCTTCTGCCAGAAAGCAACAGGACAGAGAGCAAGAGCAGGCGCCAGTGAAAGGGATTAACGTCGGTTCGAAGAAGAGCGCCGCAAATACCGCCGAAACAAATACGCAGGGCGCCGCAAAGTCTGGTGCCGCACCTGTAGCAACCAAAAAGACCGATGCGCAGCAGAATACCGTGCGCAAAGATGAGGCGAACAAGAAACGCGACAGCACCAAGCAACGCGAGAAGGAAAACCTTGCACCGAAAGAGACACAGCCCAGCAACACACGCCAATCGCAGCGGGATCGTGAGCGTGACCGCGACCGCGAACGCGAACAACACCACAGCCAGCACGTCGCCATAGAGAGAGCAAAAGTCGACAAAGACAAGTTGCACGATTCAAATAGCTATGGATCACATAGCGCCGCTGGCGGGGGAGTTGGTGCCGGAAACAGCAACCTATCGACGCGAAAATCACTCATTTTCTCTGCCACACGCAACATTGCTGGTGGCGCTGCTGCAGCAAGTGACGACATCAAGGGCGGTAAGCACGACGACCACACCGCCGCACCGGGCGCAGTGCAACATAAATCCACTCCGCCAAAACGCGGCGAAGACGGCTGGAAGGAAGTGGTACGTAAGAGCTCCACTCAGCAAAGCAGCGCTGCTTCATCCACTACAAGTGCCACGACCAATTCTTCAGCCACAACGGCAAGCGCAGCCGGCATAGCATCCATCAGCGCCGTGGTTAGCGCCCCTGGTGCCACACCAACAACAGCACCTGCAGCTGCCACTGAAATGACTTGCAAGAAGGTACAAGTGCCGGTCAATGCTATCTCGCGTGTGATCGGCCGCGCAGGCAGCAACATAAATGCAATACGCGCCACCACTGGCGCTCACATTGAGGTGGAGAAGCAGGGCAAAAACCAGTCCGAGCGCAGCATTACCATTAAAGGACAAACTGATGCCACGAAGCAGGCACACATGCTTATCCTGGCACTCATCAAGGACCCAGACGTAGATATACTGCAGATGCTGCCACGCATCAACACCAGCATAAAAGCATCTTCGTTGCCACTCAGTGTCGGCACTTGGGACAACAAGACCGCAACCGCAGCACAGTCATCGGCAGCATCTACGGCTTCGTCAACATCTTCATCGGCATCAACAACTGGCGCACACGTTGGTAGCAATACAGCTGGCGGCGGGGGCAGTTTACAGTCGGCCAATAGTGGTGCCGGCAGCGGTAGTGTTGGAGGTGGTGCCCCCGGTGGGCCCAAGGGAGCCGGTGTCGGCAGCGGAGGAAAAGGTGGCAAATCGCAGTCTAGCGGCGGTACCGGTAAATCGAGTTCCGCGCGTTCACAGAATGCCAAATCATCGTTCCACTCACAGCAACAGCAAGCGGGCAGTCGTGGCAGTCAGTCTTTAATCGGCACGCAGAAGGCTAAATCTCAAGATATAACGAGTGCAACGGGTGCAAACAAATCTACAGGCTCAAGCCACGGCAGTAGCGGCGGTTCAGTTCATGCTCAAAAGGGTAATATTGCCGCTAAGCAACAGCAGCACCCTAGCGGTGGCGAACGCAGCAGTAACACCGTTGTTAACACACAAACTTTCGCCGCCAAACTAAGCGGCACTGTCACCACAGGTGGCGCAGCATCTGCGCACATTTCACACAATTCGCCGTCAAAGAAAGTTGGCGACGGCAGCAATGCCGGGCGCATTGGCGCAAGTGCGCCCTATGGCCGTGGTAAGCCCATGCCCAGTAGCTCCAACTCTGTGCCTCAACTTGGAGCAGGTGCTGGTAATAGCAATAATGCGCTCTCTGGCCCCATCGGAGTTTTCAATCCAGCCGAGGTAGCCGCAGTGAACGCTGCAGCAGCCGCAGCAGCTGCCGCGGCCGCCGCTGCCACAGTTTCTGCTACAAACACGGTCGTATCAAACGCAACCAGCATAACTACGACAACAGCACCAACAATGACCACAGGCACAACCAGCACAGCAACAACAACATCGACAACTGTATTCGCAGCTGCACCCGGCACGCGTGCCGTCACTCCAATAGGACCGCCTAACAAGCGAAACGTTGGCTCACCGCTGCCAGCAGTAACGGCAACATCGGCATTGCAGTCGAATCAACAGCCCACACAAATGCAGCAGCAAGCCCAGAAACAGCCACAAGCTCAATTGCAACAACTAGCTGCGGCTGCGGCATTACAAGCGCCAATGGGTTCTGCACCGGATATGCAGCAGCATCTTGTTATCAATTGTGCCGAGCCAACAGCAACGAGCTCTGATAATGCCAACCACGCGGGAATGAACAACGCCACAGGTGGCGGCGGAGGTTTTGGAGCACAGCTCGCTTCTAAAATTAGTAACGAATATACGCTCTTCTTCAACTACCAATCTCAATGGGGCGACAACAACGTCCAAATGTACAATTCACCATCAGCGCTGGTCAGTGAGCCGCTGCCTAAAGCAGACGCATCTAAGGCGCCCGGCTATAATCGCAATATTCTGAATTCGCCAGTAGGCGGGAGTTCGAAAGCTTCCTCGAGCCACTCTACTTCACCGCCAGGTAGCAATGTGATGCCTGCGCCAATAGGCAGTCACCAGCCACCTGTTGGCAGTACGGGCAATGCAGCCCCACCTCCATCGAGCCACAGCATGCATGCTACCAGCATGTCAGGCGGTACTTCAACAACTGGCTCTTCTCCAGGTATGAATACTGCAACCACGGTGGCGTCAAGTGGCGAAAATACCACAATTACCACAACAAATATTGCCGATCGAGTTGATATGGGTATCAGTTTGGGCGGTGGCGCTAGTACCGCCGCTAAAGATTTACAGATACCTTCTCAAGGCAACAGCGGTGAGGCGCACATTTCTCCAGGAGTTATCAAGCCGCCTGCGCCTATTGGTCAACCGCCGTCAGCAAACACCTCAATGGGATCAAACAATGCCGCTCCATCAAATATACCCGCAAGTGGCTTGGCAATACAACGCCCGCCACCAAATACTAACCAGCAGCATAGATCCAGCGGCATCAATGCCTCTCATACACCACCTTCGGCTAATGTCGGCACACTCGATGGCAGCGCAGCTAGCACGCAACCACCTACTATGAATTTCGGCCCCATCGGTCCCAATCACTCGACGCGTAACAACAACAATGGTCCACCCGGAGCCATTGGGGAGCAACCATTGAATCGATTCTTTGAACCCCTGGGTGTTAGTGGCAATGCTGGCATGGGGCATCATGTGAAAATGCCGCCACCTTATGGCATGCAAATGCATGGCGGCGTGGGTGGTGCCGGTGGCAACGGCAGTCATCCACTATCACGGCTTAATATGCGCAACTCTTCTTTCGGCGGTCCGGGCGGCAATATAGGATCGATGCCGCAACCACCCATCGGCCAGCCACCACAACAGCAACCCTTGTTGGGCAGTGGTATATTCCACCAACAGCACCAGCAAGCACCGCCTCCACAGACAAACCCAAATTTCCCCACAGGCAAGTCATTGGCGCCAGGTTCAAATTTGGCGCCCGGTGCGCGTGCTCAGTCGCAGCCACAAAATGGACCACAGGCGCCGAACTCCGCAGCGCAGCGTTGGTATGGCGGCTATATGGACGTGTTGAATTTGGAAAATGGTGGACTTGGTGCTGCAGGTAACAATTCTCCGGCTGCAATGTCACCCAGCCAAGTAGCTGTTGGCGGCAATTTGCTGCAACAGCATGTCGCCGCACAACAGCAACAACAGGAGGACATGCGTAAAATGCCTCGCCCCATTGGCACTGAACGCGCTTCGTGGAAATGCAACAATTATCCAATGAATCTGGGCGGCGGCGGGGGCATGCCGGGTCCCGGCTTGGACGAGGGCATGGGCTCTGGCATGCATGCAGGTGTTGCAGGTCTGATGCACGGACCGTGGATGATGGACAAGCCACCACAAGCAGCACCGCCACAGCAACCGCAACAGCATTCGAATTGGATGAAACAACAGTATCGTTTTTACGGTGGCGGCGCAGCCGGTGGTGGGCTAGGCGGCATGGGTGGACCGGCAGGCGGTCCCACCGACTATCATCATCAAGATCAATTTCATGTAAGTAAAAGTTTGAGGTGCCAAATTATGAGAATGCCAAATGTTATTGCAAGTGTTTTCCTTTAGATGCCGCTGGACTATCACAGCTCGATGGCACCACCACACAATCTGCAGCAGAATACAGCCATGAACCTAATGCCACCCTATGGGTATCAGTACCTGGGTCAGGGCGCTGACATGCCGCATGTGATGTCGGACAAACTCGAAATGTGGGACCACGATAAGCAGGTAATAAAACTGGAACTTCTAAGTTATTTATTGGGGAACATAGTTAGGCTGACTTCGGAATCGTACAGCTGCAATAAACGCTTTCTCATTTTGACGATTTTACTTAACTCTTTCAGTTTTGCTGGTTAGTAATTCCTTTTTTTTCACGCGTCTTATAAATCCTATTTTAAATTTAAAAATTCTTGAAATACCTATCGTTAAGGTGGCAGTCGATAAAAGTACTGGTAACTCCGGTTTACTTGGTCCGGTAACACACATGACAAAAATATCCAGACGAATTCATAACTTATTTATTTTTCAGTAGGTTAATAAAGAATTTCAAGATTTTCCGTCTATTTGGGGTCATTGGGGCCACTTCTCAATTTTCGGGATTATTTCAAGTTTTACGGGACTACTTCGAGATTCTCGGAAGTATTTCGCTATTCTCGGGACTATAGATCGTGATTTACGGGACTGTTTCGAGATTGAGACTACTCGATTTTTATGGCTATTTCGAAATTATCGGATTTTTTAGTCTTATTTTTTTTTTTTTGAGTCTAGATGCTAGGCCGGGATACTTAGATCCACACAAAACCGCGGTTGTTCCTCTTGGGGGGTTGTTTCGACGATATAAAACGATGGCCAGCGCAGTGAATATTTTTTTTTTTTTAGTCTTAAATACCAAATTTTTTTTTTACTTGAGTAAAAAATATGAAATATTTGGGTAATGAGTATCCAAACTGGTATTTGAAATTCAAAAGTACTTAAGTATGCTCATCACTACTGTGTACGTAAGCAAAGCAATTGAGGATTCCGAAGTCAGCTTTGGTTGATGTACCCGGCTGGGGAAAGAGGTGCCTTCCGTTGTATCCCAAATTTAAAAATTTTCTCGTGCACATTTTTTAATTCACCACCGTCGCTTAGAAGATTCACTTCGGGAAATTTCTGTTGATCAACGTTTTTTTTTTTTTTTTAAATTGTTCTTATGTTATATTACTTATTTATGGTTTCAGATGTGGCACAATTGGGCAAACTGATGTTTTAATGAGCAGCAGCAGCAGCTACCACTACACCAGCAGCAGAAGCAGCAACAACAAAAGCCAATGCAGGAAGGTGTAAAATTGTCATCAAAAGTTTTAAAATGAATTTTGAATAAAATATGATTGGAGAGTTCGTAAGCAGCGAAAACAACTAAACGGAGAAAAGGAGGAAAAAGGAAAACAAACGAAAGTTCATATAACTACTAAATGCTACTTTTACAACATATACACATACACATAAGATACACGCACTCAACAAACAAAAAAAAAAACAATTACCCATATATACATACATACTTAGCTACCCTACGCGTATATACGTATATATCTTTGGATTAAGCTGAAAAGCAGTGAATGAATATGAATATTAAATGAAAAATACATATTAATTATTATTAAAAAAGAAAAGCATATACCAACAACAACAACAACTGACAGAATTCAATTACTTTAACATAAATCCGTTAGCAAAAGAAAGCGACGAAAAAAAACGATTTAATCAACTATTTTCTTTTATCGCTCATTTGTGCTCAAAAGCGGAGTAAAGAAAGTGAAGCGTACGATATAACGAAACTGAACAACAAGCAAAAGCAAGGCAATGAATACTACGTACATATAAACATAACGCGAAATGCAACGCGCTCAATATTTACGAAGTCGTCTACTTCGTTTTACTAAACATTGTATTGGCGCATATGAAGAAGGTCAAAAATGTTTATGCGACACTACTATGTCCCCCATATACAGTCATACAATAATTACATACATATATTCTTCGTGTTGCATGTAAATGAGCCACGGCGCCTTGAATGCTGCGCATACATGGCAAATTTACAATCGGTTTGCACTTGTAAAATTTTGATTTTTTTTTTTTTTTATTAGATTTTAGTTACTTTGCCTATATACTACATACATATATTATAAACTACATACATATATTATCTATTATTTGAACTATATATTTGTATGCATGAAATAATGAAATTCATATAGAAAATAACAAAGCAAGTAAGCAGAAAAAGTGAAAATTACAACAAAAAAAAAACACATCTATTGTATCGTTTGGGATTATTTTTGGTTACAACGCAAGTAATATTTTGATTTGCAAGGGCTTGGGTTAATTTATTTTCAGCTGGCGCTTTTATATTATATTGTTAATCCTACATATAATAGGGCGCAACCTACTTGCTTAACAAGAGGATTGTTGGGAGAGCACAATGGCCATCCAACGATTTCGGAATAGTGCTCAGCGGACTTTTTAACGAAATTTATATTTTTCATTGCCTTTTAACTATTTTGCGCGTTTTATTGTTATGTACATCGAGTTGAGTGGTATCCCTGCTCCCCTGTTGTATTCAAAAAATACGTTTCTGTGCAGCTATGTAGTATTGTGAATTAAGCTACTTGACAATTAATTCACTTATTTATATTCATCGGCCAACAATTTCCAGAGCAAACCTTTATTGTCTATTTAAGCCCAAATAAATTCGGTATGGTTTCTGTTTTAAGTGTTATTATTCACAAGTGCATACGATTAGATGCTATGGACCCTTACATATTGCTGTTCATGGGGGTACAGATATGCAAACATACACATGCAAATTCCTATATGCATACGCATACATACATACATACTATATAACTACTACCTATCTACATATTCTGCAACTATGCATAGACCTTCATACAGTTAATGGTATTCTCTAGAAGACGTAAGCGCATATTTAAACTTGAAACACATACATACATATATGTTAGTACTAAGGCAATACAAGTTGCTGCTTAATATACATACATACATAAGTGCGTAAGGAAAAAAAAAATTAAAAGTAGAAATTGAAAAATATTAGATTAAATTAATGAACATACATCTATTTGGCAAAAACAAAATAAAATTTGGTCAGGCAATGCGTAAAATTAATAAAAGAAATTCATACACCTGCGTCACTGCACACGCCCACACATGCATATGTATGCAGATTATTTTTTTTCTTCTTTTAAATGCCTTTTTCGCTTTCATAAAATCTAAAAAGAAAAGAATTTAACTGAAACACAAAAATCCAGCTCGCTTTTTTCGTCCTACACTCTACTCAACTAAAAAAAATTGTAGGCATCTTATAACACTGCATAATAAACAGTCGTTAAAAAGAAACTTACTTAAAAATTCGCGCTGCTTAATATAATTGAACGAAAAAGCAAAAACGAAATTATAAAACTTTTGCATATAATAATCTATTGTTGATTATACGATTACTAAAAACACATTGCTAAAAGCGTACGAGAGCAGCTTAAAGCCAGCGGTGAGGAAATTCCTGTCTCACACTCCAACGAAGCGCGAAAACACTGAATAAAAACAGTACTCAAACTAAACCGATACAACAGCAAAGCAAAATTAAAAATGCTGAGGACTAACGCAATGATGATGATGATGATGATGATGATGATAATGTTGATTATGATGTCATGGACATAAAAAATAAAAATAAAGTAACTGCTGTTTACGCGCTAAGCATTAATATTATAACTATATACACAAAGAAAATAAAAACGTAATGATGATTACCGTTGAATACGATTATTACTATTATCGCTATACTTGTAATGATCACTATGAATTATTATTATAAATAATGAATATTATATAAATATATTATAATTACAATTATTGATTATATTAGCGATGCTACTGATGGATACTGATGGTATATTGAAAACATAATACATACGACCTAAATAAAAAAAAAAACAAAAAAACAAAAAACAAAATATGAATCCCTATATATAAGTGGTTTATTAACAAAAATGTTATTAAACTTGAACAGTTTCAAATGTGCAACCAATGAACAGTTACCACAACCGGAATAGCAAAACGCAGCAGAGGAAACTTAGCTAAAAACAACAAGAATTATATTACAGACACAAAAGCAGAAAATAGGATTTACGAGCAGCATAATATCGATAATAAAAAAAAAATGATTATACTGATGAACATACAAAAACAAGAAAAAATAAATAAAATTAAATTAAAGTAAACCAGAAATACTTCTTTCACACGCGGGGAACAATAACAAGTACATAGTATTTTAACCCATTCTTATGGTTATGGCGTTTACAAATTGATTGTTTTCGTCACATCCTGGACTGATCTAAAAATTTTCGATTTGCAACCAGCTTTGTCTAGTAGAAGCGCGCTCATTTGGAATACCATTTTAAAACTGAGTCAGTATAGGCAGTTTCACGCCTTGTATGGTGGGATATATGTACAAGCAAGCCGTTTAGAACAATAGCCAGCAACTAAATGATCAAAGAGCACCATATAAACAAAAAAATTGACTATTTATCTGCACATTTTGATAAGTGATTGGTCAGCTTTTCCCCTAATTTGCGTTGTGTGCCTTGATGCGTCCACAAATATACGAACCTACAGTTTTACCTCGTCGAATTTTAGGCCCGTGAGGTAGCTGTCGAGGCGCCTGTAACACTTAAGTTGAGCCCGAGCGCACTGCGTTGTTGTAGCGGCTACAAGAACCCCGCCCAGATCGGCTAGTATCTCAGTGGTCGTCAAGCTCAACTAACGGAAGACCAAAGAAGCGTGCAGCCTCTATATGGTCTGCCCACAGAGACAAAGGCGTTAGTTGCGTGGGGGTTTCCGGGCAAACGAAGAGATGTTTCGAGTCGTGGGGTGTCCGACACTCATTTGGTACATTTGCATCTAATCGGCTCAGGTATGACTTTAACCTGCTTCAGTAGCCAGAGCGAAGTGGTGGTCCTAGTCTCCCGAGGCAGACGAAGCTCCGTCTCGTCGACGTCAGGTGGTTGTGTGCCCAGAACGGCATTCACAGGTCTGGAGTCTACGTAACTTGAGACTGACTCCCTGTGAATGTCGCTCAGGGCCTGTCGGTATATTGACGGGTCCAGAGGTTGTTTTATGAACTTCTGTATTTCGTCCGTCAGTTCATATAGATGCCTTCTGACATGCCTTGGCGAGGTCTCCTCCCTCTGCAAGCAAGTGTCTGTCCCTACTAAGAATAGCTTGCAGACCATTGTGCTCCCTTATGGGGAGCATTTTCGCCTCGTCATACAGGTGATGTTCTGCATCAGAAGACATGCGATCGCTGTCCGAAGTGCTGTGTTTTTACCGTCTGCAGTTTCATCCACGGAGTCCTATTCGTCCCCGGCGACCACACTGGTGCTGCGTACTTTAGAACCGGCCTGCCAATTGCCTTGTATGTTGCAACTTCCCCTGTGCTGATGGCTGGTGTGGGCGGCCGCCGAGCACAATGTTATCGCGGAGCAGGCAGGTTCACACTGTGTTGTGGATATCGCGCTATGCTTTGGTGTGCTGCTCGTTTGAGAACGGCGGATTTAGGTCGACTTGTGGGTCTATTACGGATTGCAACTGAACTTCAGTTGTGTGGCCAATGGCTGAAATGGTATTATAGATGGCAACTGGAACACTGAAAGCTGGCAACTGATTTGCTATATTGGCAACTGCATTTTTGTGGTTGCCGCAGAAATTTTGATAGAGATAATTTATTTCTTTTTCCAACTATTTCTTCAGCTTCTTTTTACTCAAGTCTTAGTTGCTGGTTCTTCAAAATTTTATTACCTTCAACTTTATAGAACTTAACTATAGCTGCTATTAAAAATATACATTTTCATTTCAGTGGCGTTGCCCATTGGCAACGCAAATGCGGTTAAGTTTTCACTTGACTTTCCTTCCAGCCGAGTTGGTGCCATTCCACGTGTCTGGATGTCAGTTCATTACGAAGCGGATGATGTTGGTCCACTCGCCACTATATACAGTCAGTCAATAAAGTTTAGGTACAGCAAATTTTTTAGTATACGGGCAACTATTTTTAAATACTATACTATACTATACTATTTTTAAATATTTTATTTCTCGCTAATTTTTTATAAAAATATGGTTAATTCTACAAAAAAAACCCCACAAATCAGAGTTCCAAACCTTGTGCAAAATTAAATTTTTGGCAAATTTTTTGTTGAAGGTACCGAGGATTTGTTCATTAAAAAAATTATCGAACATTACTTTATGTGGAGAAACGAACGAAAAAAATTGCTAAAAATCAATGGTAGCTACCTTAAACTCGCACTTTGTTGTATGTACTAAAATGGAATGGGCTAAAAAACTGCGTACTCAGCTTTTTTTCTAAAGTGTAAATAAAAAATGCAATATTTGGATGAAAATTTGCAGACTTTTCTTTAATTTTGCATAATGTCTGGAACTCTTATTTTTGGTTGGTTTGTTGTAAAATCAACCATATTTTTATAAAAAATTAACTAGAAATTAAATATAAAAAAAATAGCTGTCGGTATTGTGAAAAATTCCGTTCCTAAAGTTTATTGACTGACTATGTCTGCGGGAAAAAATATACATATAACGCCAAATCGTCCAAATATTATGTATTCTACAATATTAATTTAAATTTATGCAGTGAGCGGGCTTGCCTGTGTGTCTTCAAAAGAACAGAAAAACAATGCGTCGTCTGCTTTAAGCTTTATTAAATACATATATTTTAAAAGGGACTTCTTTGAATACATTCATTCCAATTCTATGCATGGAACAAGCAACTTTATGTTCCACCCTGCAAATGTTTTATCATATCTGGGTATCGCTGTCATACGAACGGCTCAATGTTGAACTCTACAACCGAGCAGGGTGTGGTCAGCTCAAAAGCTTGCAGTACTGTAGGATGCAGTACACCTATTCGGCCAATTGCCACGCTGTTAAGCATAATATTTGCGCAGCGCCCTGGGAAATAGGCGGGATCTAAGAAGTATTGGTGAGTAGTAAACGAAAATGAATTATATTGCCTACTTACCATCGGCCGCCTGCAAGTAATATCCATGCTTTTGATTTTCCGATTTCCATGGCACCTCCAACAATTGCATTACGCGATCAAGTAGACCGTGTACGACTTCGAATCCAGCAGTTTTGTTGCAATTGACTGCGCAAAGGCGACGTTCATTGCGCGCACCAACTTCCGTTTCATCATCGGCCACCACAACATCACTGATTTCAAATAATTTTAGTGGGAGCGGCATTTTACGATTCGCCACCAGAGTTTTTAGTAATCCCGGCAACAAGGTGGTACGCACTACTTGAAACTCAAGTGTTTTTGGATTGGCAATATGCACTGCAGCTATACTATCTATGGATTTATTTAGCTTGCTTGCGATATCGTCACGTGAGCAGAGTGTAAAAGTGATTGCTTCGGTAAAACCTGCTTGTG